CACACACACACACACACACACAAACTGGGAACAACCCAAATGTCCATGTTCACCAACTGGATGGATAACCAAAATCTCAGGTTACCCATCCGGTGGAACAGGACTCAGCAACAAACAGAAGGAACCACTATTACAGGCTGTTTCACTGGTGGATCTCAAAAACTTTGCCATATATGAGAAGCCAGATATAAAAGACTACATATTCTATTTATATGTATTCTTGGAAAGGCAGATCCATAGGCCCAGAAATCAGGTCAGTGATGGCTAGGGGCCTGGAGGGGGAGGATGGACTACAGGGTGTCATGAAGGAATTTGGGGGCAACAAAAATGTCCTATATGTATTTTTATAGTATACTTTTGTAGACCCCCCATAATGTTTTTTTAAATTTATTTATTTACTTTTGGCCACGCTGGGTCTTAATTGCAGCAGTTGGGATCTTTGATCTTCATTGCAGCACGTGAGATCTTTAGTTGTGGCATACAAATGCTTAGTTGCAGCATGTGGGATCTAATTCCCTAATCAGGGATCAAACATGGACTCCCTGCATTGGAGGATGGAGTCTTAGCCACTGGACCATCAGGGAAGTCCTTATTTTTAATATTTTAGAACAAAAATGGGAGAGTTGAGTTTTTTTTCCCTAGGTGTTTACATGTCTAGGGGATTCAAGTAAAGAGCTCCATTGTGATCCCCTCAAATAATTAAACACTCACTCCCCAACCCGGGTCAGCACAAATGCAGCCCAAAGGCAACTGCTGAGCAGAAAAACAGATATATCAGAGCTGGTGTCTTTTAAGAAGAGGCCATGGAACTGTAAATCAACAATACTTCGACAACAACAAGAAAAAAAATAACCTGCCATAGATATCATGCATCATTTCTATATTTGTGCAACAGCAGTATGGAAAACAAAGGGAGAAACACCTAGTTTGGAGCAGTGGAAATTTTAGGGGGAGGAGTAGGCAAGGTCTGGGAACATCCAGGACTTTAAGAAGAAAATATCTACAGTAACCACATTCTTCACTCTATCTCCTCATCTGCCGTATTTTATCAGAACCTGACGTCACAGCAGGAACATGCAGATCTGCTGGGTTGTGTATTGTTCGCCTGCCTCTCCTGAGATGTCAGTTTCCCTTGGTCTCCCAGCATCCAGGACAAAGTAGGTGCTCAATTGATAGTTTGGATCAGTCTTGATTTGCTTTGTACAGCATTATCCCAACTTACCAGGACCCCCACCAGGGCCCTCATCACCCCTTTCCCCGCCTCAATCCAGAGGCATCATGACCTTCTGCATTCATACCCTAATTGTGGAAATTTTGCTGGTGGAATGGTCGGTGGGTGACCTGGGGCTATGATTACATTTCCTTCTTGATAGAATTTCTTGGTGTTTCTAGACAGTGCCAGCCAACAGAAATATTTTGCATCACAACGGGTGAACCAACGTGTCATTTCAAACATTCTGTAACCACATTTAAAAAGGAAAAGGAACTGGTGAAATGAAGGCTTCCCCGGTGGCCCAGTGGTAAAGAAACTGCCTGCCGCTGCAGGAGACATGGGTTCAGTCTCTGGGTTGGGAAGATCCTTTGGAGTAGGAAATGGTAACTCACTCCAGTATTCTTGCCTGGGAAAACCCATAGACAGAGGAGCCTGGCGGGCTACAGTCCATGGGGTCACAGAAGAATTGGACACGATTTAGTGACTGAACAACAATACCTTTTATTTGACCCAATTTGTCGGGAAGAGGATTCCTTCAACATGTGCCAGCACACACGATTCATGACACTTTATGTTCTATTTTTATACTAAGCTTTCAAAATCCAGTGTCTTCTTGACTGGATGGCACCCCACTCCATGCTGGGTGGCTCAAGCTTGGAGCTTCTTAAGAAGAACTGCATGGGAAGTTAAGAGTCCTCTGGTGTCTGGAAATGTCCTTATTCTGCCCTCGCAACCTGTGGCATAACTTGGAAGATGGTGGCCCTGGTAAGATGTAAGGTGAGAAATCCTGTCACTGGGAATGTGGCTCCCTCAACTGCCGGCAACAGGTCTGATGCCACGCTGAGCAGTGCCCATCTCCAGGAGACCTCTGTTCACACTCTAGAAACTTTCCATATCTTCTCTTTATTCTGATGAGTTTGAAACTTCGTGAGGATGCAACATGGTTGAATTTTTAATCCATTAGCTGGTTTGCTGTTTTTATTGTGCCAGGGACTTGGCAGACTTTCCCACTAGGGAAGCTCTAGGAAGAACTTTGCATTACTTTTCACAATGGTCTTCCTCCTCCGCTGGTCTTTGGAAACTCTGTCCCTCTGACCTCTCATATGGATCCTCCACCATCCCTTAGCTTCTGTCTCTCTGATTTTTGTTCTTTCTTCTGTGAGATTTCTTCAACTCCTTCTTTCAATCCTTCTACCAAATTTTTAAGTTTTCTTGTATTATTTTGTACCTTACAAGGACTCTTTTTTGTTTTCCTCCTGTTTTCTGAAGTGCCCTCTCCTAGTCGCATGGGTGCCTTGTCTTTCCCTATCTGAGGAAGATCGTCTGAAGTTTTCTTCTGGTCCCTGCATTAGCTCTTGTTTCCTCCAGTGTCCTCTCTTCTGTTGGTTCTCGGTCTCTCAAGCACGTCTGAGTGAGGCACCAGGATGCAGTTTGGGGCTCATTCCCTGGGGTGGGGTGGGGCATACCCGAAACAGCTTTGGACTGTTCCCTATATCCTGTGAATGGTTGAGGAAAGTCTGACAGACCCACGCAATGGAATACTAAGCGCCCATGTACCATGGTGTTGAGAGGACTTCTTATGAAGATGGGGAAATGCTTGTGTTACCAACTGTGATGGAATACCTAGACATAAAACTATCAAAAGCAATGTATTAAGGCACAGTAAAGAGATCTGAAAGGAACCACCCTGTGACGTTAACAGCTGTTTCTCTGGGGGCACCATCTCTTTTCTCTCTGCCCCATTTTCTGCAGCTCCAAAATCCAGGGTCCCTCTGTCCTGGGTTTCTACTGAGAACCACCCAGTCTGGCCACGAACCACCCCATTTGGCCACAAACCACCTCATCTGGCCACGAAACACCTTGTAAGGCCACCTCTTTCTTGGCCACTTATCATCATCTTCCCCCCAGAACTTGAGGCTGGGGTGTCAGATTCTCCCTGCTGGTTTTGTTGGCAGTACCAGCAGATACCACTCAGCCAAATGCCTAAACTGAGCTCTGCTGATGTGCCCTCCAGAGCCCACAGCACAGGCAGACGGAACAGCACTTCTGAGGCTGCAGAGGGCAGCCCCCAGCCCCCCGCCTGCCCTGGCACATGGGAACGAGCACATCTCCAAGGCGCCAACAGGACCCTCAGGGACTCAGTGGTAGACAGGCCCCTTCCTCAGTCTCCAGACCTCCAACACTCCGTGGGAAGGCCCAGCCCCCTTCGTTCCCAGTTTCTGGTCTATTTATGTCTTATGAATTCAGTTATGTAAATAAAGGTGGCCCAGCCCGAGGGGGGGCCCCTCACCCCCATCTGTTCCCTCTCCCTCTGCCTTCTGCTCCCCACTGTGTCCACACATTTCAGGTATGCCCCCACCCCCATATCATACACTATACCTTTATTCTTTCTCATCTCTTCCTGCTAGAACCCAACTGGGGCCACCCAGAACCTACCCCCAGACTGCCGGGCCTCCACCCAACCAAAACATCTTCAGGAAAATAAGGTCCAGAGGGCCTCTCTGAAGATCACACAGCAGGGATGACCTTCCCAGGTCCTCAGGTTAATCCCACCTCTAGGGAGAACCTCTAGTTTCTGCCCTGAGCCTCACAGACACCCAGAGTGGCACCAGTTACCCAGCTCACGGTGAGGCAGGAGACCACCAAGGTCACAAGCAAGATTCCACCTACTCAGATCAGTGTGGTCTGTATGGGTGCCCCACTGCCAGAGAGGTGGGAGGAGAGCTGGAAGAGAGGCACCAGGGGAGGGGAGAAGAGCGTGGAGGATGGCGGTCTTTGGGGACCCATCTCAGAAAGCTCCCCTCCCCCAGCACCTGCACCCAGCACTCACAGTCAGCCCTATACAAGCAGAGCTAGACTTTGCCTCTGACCTTTGCCTTCTGGCCACTGCCTGAACCAAAACAGGCTGCTCTGAGGGCAGGCTTCCAGGTGGGCTGGTAAGAATAGGGGTCTGGAGGGCACCCTCAGTAATACTCCCCCATCCTGAGCCTTCAGACAGTGGCAGGGCAGGTGTATAGAGGTCAGGTTACCAAGCACCGACTACCTGTGCGCATGTCACAGGGTGCTGGGACCAGCTGCAGCTCTGCTCTGGGGGCTGGAGGGTGGGGGAGCCATGGGTAGAGGAGAACCACGTGTTCCAGAGTCCTCCCGCCCCCGAACAGAAGTAGAATTTAGAGAAGGGCCCCAAAGATCTAAAAAAGAGCTGACCCAGTGGGTCAGGGAAGGCACCCAGGACAGTGGTTGACAGTGGATTCCAGGGAAACATGAGAGGGATAATTAGGATTTGGTGATGACTGGAAATCTCAGGATCCCTGCAGGGTGTCCAGCTGGTGGGTGGGCCGAGGAAGTGCATCCAGGAAATGGCAGCAGGCCGGTGGAGAAGGGTCCTGGTGTGGTCCTGGGCATCTAGCAGTGTGAACACCAGGAGACCCGGTGGTACATGGGGAACTGTCCAAGGGAAAGCGGAGGAGAGTGCAGAGAGGAGATGGGAATGCCAGCCTGGAAACCATAGCCATGGGAGAACGTTCCATAGGAGGGCATGACCATCAGGGTCCTCAGATCCTGAAATGCCAGGAAAGATGAGGCTCCAAAGTGTCCATGTGGTTTGGTGACCCTGAGGTCACTGGGGACTGACCACTGGGGTGTGTGTAGGGGTGCAGGTGAGAAAGTGAAAAGGGTCCTAAAGCAGCAGCTGAGATGCTGGCTGGCTTTAGACCCGAGGGCGGGGGGGAGGGGAGAGGACATAGTCAGGAGGGTGAATCTGGGATCTGGCATTAGGAAGGAGGAGATGTGGGAAGGAGGAGGTGTGGGAAGGAGCATAGCGTTCTCCTCTCGAAGCAGGAGAAGCAGTGGCCAGGCACTCTGGGCAGCCGGCTTGGTGTAGAGGGTGGGGTGGGGGGCTGTTGGATGGACGGCTCTGGGGGGGACTTAAGGGAGAAGACTTGGGACACCCAGGCTTAAAGAGGCATCCCAGGGGCCACCCTTCCCTGCCTGGCGTGGGTTCGGCCCGTGGAGGGCCTTGGCCCCCACTCCAATCCAGCTTGCTTTGGGCGCTGGAAAGGTCACCTAGGAGCCACGTTGCAGGGTAAGTGGAGCGTCAGTCCTTCCCGCAATCAGCACCCGGGAAAAAAGTGTTGAGGGCCCAGAACGCGGAGAAAGTGAGAGGAAAGGGCAGGGGGCCACAGCCCCCATCTCTGGTCGCGCGCCTACCACGCATCCCACCTGTTCGTCCACCGCTCCTTTCCCGGCTGGGAGCTGCAATCGGTCGGCCGGGGTTCCCCGGGCGGGGGTCTGCCCAGTGAGCTCTGAGTGAGAAGGTCTGCGGGGCGGCGTCCTCGGGGAGAGTTCCGCAGGACAGGAGTCCGCGAGACAGGTGCCAGCACCGGCGCGCAGGGAGGGGTCTGTCGGGCAGGAGCTCCGGGGCGGCGAGTCGCTCCCCGCGGCCGCGGCGGGAGGGCGGAGGCGCGGGCAGGGGCTCGGAGCGGCAGGCGGGGACCCTCGGCCGCCGCTCCACCTGCGGGCCGCTCCTGCCCCCGCCCCCTCCCTCCCCCTCCGCCGCCGCCCAGCGTCGCCGCCGCCGGAAAGTTCGCGTGTGGCTGGCGCGGGGCGCGGGCGCGGAGCCGGCGCCGACCCTGATCAGGCAGCGCTGCGGGGGCGAGCGGTGCGGGCCCCCGACGCGAGCGCGCGGAGGACGGCGGAGAGCAGGGAGAGACCGGAGCGGCGCGCTGTGAGCACCTGGTACCGGCCCGAGGGCACGTTCGAAGGCTGGAGAGCGGGACTGGCTGGCGCGCACCCCTCTCGTAGGTGGGCGGTCTCGGGCCCCGGGTATCGCCCTCCTCATCCGTCGGACACCCCCTTCCCAACCCCAGGATGCGCCCTTCCAGCTCGGAAGAGTCAACCTGGTTCCGAACTACCCGGAGGGCAGTTCGGCGGGTCTCGGCGCTTCCTCGCTTGCTCCGTCCTCTCCTCCTGGGGGAGCGCGTCCCAGGGGGAAAAAAGTGGGGTGTCTGTGGCCGCCGGGCGCTCTGTTCTGCTGCCCCCCTCCACTCCCGATTCCTCCCTCCAGCACCCCCTCTTCTCCCCTCCCCGCGCATACACAGAACCGCGGAGACACCCCCAGAAGCGTGGGGACCGGCGCTGGGCAGCCCTGCTTTACTCCAGCCGCGGCTGCTCCCCAAAGCTGCCCAGCAGTGTCTTGGTTACCCGGGTTTCCCTGGAGGGGCCGAGGGGCGATAGCACCCAGCCTGATAGGTTCATCTGGGGAGCCTACACTTGTCACTGATCCGCAGAGAGGGCAGGGCATTGTCCAGTCTGCTCTTTCCTCACCGGGCAGCCCCACTCATAGGTGAGGTCGCAGGGTTTCTGCCCCTTCCAGGAACCTACTGACTCCTGATGTCTGGGCACCTGCATTCTCCGAGGACCCCTCGGGATGTTGTCCACCCTTCTGTGCTGGGGGATGAGGGTTGGTGGGGCAATAGCACCCTGGCCCTCTTCCAGGCCCGCCCTGCCCCCACCGAGTGGGAGAGGAGGCAGGAATCAGGCTTTGTCAACAACCTGTGGCCTGGTGATCTGATCTCGCCCTGGGGCCATGACCTTCTGCCACTTGCTCCGGTTTCACAAACACCCACCAAGCCCATTCTCATCAGAAGCTGGCAGGCCCCATTCCAAAGCTGGGGTGACCAGCACCCACCTCGTGGAGATCCAACCATCCTGGGGGGGTCTTTTCCCCAGTTCCCGGTCTGGGAGTCTGGGACATCCCCAAGGGAAACTGGGGAAATGGCTGAGCTTTGAGCCCCTAGGAGTGGTGCGTTCTGCCAGGCAGGGGACAGAACACATGCCCCCCGGGCCCCGCCCGTGGAGTGGGGGAGGCTGGAAAACAGAGGAGGGGGTGAGCTGGGGCTGGGAGAAAGCTGGCCCTCCGTCCCACCCCATCAGTGTCTAATCCTGAGCTACCTGTGCTGGGCGGGTGCAGTCCAGGGCCAGAGAGGGAGCCGAGCCTCCAGGTCGGTGAAGGGAGAAGGCTTGGTCCCTTGCCGTTAGTCCCCCATCCCCCACCGGCTCCCGGGCCGTTCCAGGAGAGTAATAAGGTGGAAAACAGCAGCCTTGCCTGATGCCACAGCCAATGGGAGGCGTGGAGGGGCACCTCCGCATCCAGGTCTCAGTCCTCATTCATTCAACAAATATTTATCCCTGGGGCTGGCAGGCTGCTCTGGGGTTGCAGTGTCCCCCATGGTAGGGAGGGGGCCTGGACGTGATACTCTGTTCTCCTCTTTAAGTGGCAAAGTTCATTTACTCTTTGGTGATGAGGAGCCAAGGATTTTGCAAGTAGGAAACCGAGGCTCTGAGAAGTTAAATTATTAATATTTGTCCTTGGTCCCAGAACCAGAACTGGGCCCCGCAATGTCCCCCTCTTCTGTGGGGTCAGCCTCACACCTGAGTGCTCAGGGCAGGGACCGCAGGACCTCCGCCTTGCACACAGCTGAAAGTCATCCCGTACTCAGCCCTCATGCAGAGAAGTGTCTAGAAATCTTGCCTGTACTCCCCTGAAAGGCATGGGGGGCCTCATCCATTTCTGCCGCTTCTTGTGTTTCTATCAGAGTCTTAGTGAGAGCAGTCATCCTCGTCTTAAATTGGTGGCGGGGTGCTGATGCTCTGATCCCTAGGGCCCTGGGGCCCTGGGTGCCTTGAACCGGTTACCCAGCCTGGGATCTGTAGATACTGAACTGTGTGGCGTGAATCTTCAAGGATTCCCAGCCCCATGTGCCAGACCAGAGTAAAGGGTATGGAGGATCGCCCCCTCCCCTGCCCTGGCTGGGGCCCGAGGGCAGCCCATCGTTCCTCCCCCTCTACCCTGGGGCTCTGCTTCTCTCTGCGGTTCCCAGACTGACTGACTCCTACCTGGAAGGCAGACTGGCCCAGCTGTTGCCCTGCCCCCCTTGAGTTCTCCTAACAGCCCTAGGAAGTTAGCAAGGTCAACTTGCACTTTTCAGGTAGGAAACTCAAGGCACAGCTGGGCCATGCCCTCCCCCCACCCCTAGCTGGGCTCTGAGGGGGCCGACATTTTGCTTTGGAGCTCCTCACTGGAGGAGCCCTGCCACTTCGCCCTCCCCTCACCACTGGCTGCAGGGCCTCTGGGCGGGGACAGCTTATCCGGCAGTATCTTTTCTCCCCAGGTCCCCTGATTGCTGTGCACCTTCCGCTCCGCCCCAGCCATCCTTTGTCACTCTGCCTCCCTGTCCCTCCAGCCTCTAGTTATCCAGGCTACCTCTGCCTCCCTGAGCCGGCCCACCCGTCTCCCCTTCTCCAGCTGCAGGGCACGGTGCTCCTCACACAGCAGGCTCTGTGGCCTGGGTGGGCAAGGGCAGGGCAGCAGGCTGTTTGATAAGAATCAGGAGATAAGACCCCTTGGGATAGAGACACCTGAACCGCCCCTCGTCCTCCACCCGCCTGGGGGGCTACTCCCTCCGAGAGCTCTCCGGTCCAGCTCCTCCAGAGCAGCCCTAAACCTTGGCTCCTCACCTAGACCAGGGCCCGCAGACCAGTGACTCCTGGGCCCTGCCTCACCAGGCCTGACCCACACCCTGGCCCAAGGGCAAGGGTGAGGAGCCCCACGGCAGGCCATGTGGACTCACCCCATGGCGTCCCATGAAGGGTGAGGAGTGAATCACAGGAGAGTCCACGTGAGCTGGCCCCCTGAGGGCCCATCTGGACTCCGATGGGAGGAGACTGAGATCCAGGGTTGTCCGGGAACCCTCCACCTTCAGTGGTAGGCTGCGCCCCTCCTCCCCACCTCCTCCCTGGCTTCTCCCAGGCTCTGCCTTCCAGCCAGCCAGTTTTGTCCATCTGTCCATCCATCAGTCCACCACGTGCTCACTCTATGGCAGGGTACCTGGTGGGAGGGGCCCGTCCACAGCCCTAGAGGTGCTCGTGTGAGGCAGCCCCTCCCTGTGCCCTCGTGGAATTCAGTAGAGCAGAAGACGGACTCTGGAAGCAGCGACACGATGCCTGATGGGGCTGCTGATGCCTCAAGCACGGCTCTGGCCAGGACCAAGCAACTCGGGCCCCCCCACTGCAGGAACCACGAAGGCAGTGGTCCTGTGTCAGCCCCCGGCAGCCCGGCAGTGCTCGTCTCAAAGGAACACACTGCAGCTGCCTGCATGCTGTGGCCCAGGGAACCCAGGAAGCCCAGCTTGAGTCTTAGGCGGGGCCCAAGGAAGACCCTAGACACCCCAGTCCTGGGCATGGGAGCATGCCTGTGCCAGGGACCACCTTAAGTATATGCCTGGCACTCCTGGCTCCTGGCAAGGCTGGAAGCTGGCCCAGGGCCACCTCAATAACTGCATCCCTGGGGACTAAGTGATGATGGATTGTCCCAGCATCCTACCCCGGCCTGCCAAGCTGACTTTCCCAGGGGCTAAGAATAGTGGGAAGGATAGTGAGGGCCGAAGGAGGAGGTGGGCAGTTAGGGAGGCTGCTTCCCCCCCTGACATCTTTGGTACCAGGCAGGACAGCGATCACTTAGCTAGCATGGAGGGGAGGGGCTCTGGGGCTAGCCCAGGCTCCAGACAGACAGCCACAGGCCGTGAGAAAGCAGCTCCCCTTGGGTGATGGCGCCAAACCCCCAGGCACGGGGCCAGACCCCAACCCCCAAGTGGCAGAGTGACCACTTCTTGCATCACTTCCCTCCCAGCTCCCACTCCATCAGTAGGATTTGGAGACTCCGAGGGAGGGGTGGTTTTAGGGGAGCAGGACACCCTGCTGATCATGAAAGAAACCAGCTGTGCCTCTTCACACCAGAGCCTGCCCCCCACTGCACAGACCCTGCTGCTCTGATACTCGTAACCCCAGTGGAGCGTGCACCCACGAGGACCTCTTTGCCCCCAGCTGTGCAACCCCAGCCAGATGTGGGGGGCAGCTTCTCAGAGGCATGCCCCCCATCCAGCCACGCTACCCCCACCTCTTCCTGCTGCTGCTGCTGGCCTGCCAGGTGAGTGCTGCCAGCCCCCTACCCAGCCCCTGACTCCCACCAGGCTGCCTGCTCCTCGTGCTGATGCCCCTGTCCCCTTTGTCTATCCGTCTGTTCCCTCGTCAGCCACAGACCCCCTCTGCTCAGGTGATGGATTTCCTATTTGAGAAGTGGAAACTCTATGGTGACCAGTGTCTCCACAACCTGAGCCTGCTGCCCCCGCCGACTGGTGAGCCCCGCCTTCGGCCCGAGTCCAGTGCTCCCATCATGGGAAAGCCCTGTGCCCCCAACCCCCACCCACCCATTTACAAGTGAGGAAACTGAGCCACAGAGGAGCTAGTGACTAGCCCAGGGCTGCAGATCAGGGTGTCTAAGAAATGGTAGAACTGCCCCAGAACTGGGGTGCTTTACCACCTTCCTCTGCTGCCAGGCACCAGGCCTCCACGCCTGAGGCCTGGACACAGTCTTCGCTCCCATGGAGCTCAAGGCAATGTGGGGGTGGGGGGGGTAGTGAACCGGGAGGGGCAAGCAGAGGGCATCAGGCCTGGTGACGGACGGGCCATTATTTGGAGTGCTCAGGCAGACTGGGCCCCAGTGTTCTGGACAAGTTCTGAAGATCACTCAGGTGCAGAGAGAGAGAAAGAGACTAGGGCAGGAGGAGGTGCCTGGGAAGCCAAGCCATTGTCTGGGCAAGGAACTGGGCTGGTGTTGGGACCAGAAGGATGGCAACAGAATTGGAGTTCAGCCTCCAGGGACAGAAGTGCTGCCAGAGGGGCACTAGGAAGAGGGGAGACCCCCGGGTTGACAGCTGGGGTATCTGAGGGGAGGTGGCCAGGCAGAGCTGGAGCTCAGGACCGGGCTGGACAGAGGCGTCCGGGGCAGGCAGGATGGTCAGCATGCACTGCAGGGAGCAGAGAGCATGCAGCAGGGGTCGTGGGGGCCAGGCCCTGCTGAGGAGCAACCCTGGCCCCGCCTCTGCAGAGCTGGTCTGTAACAGAACCTTTGACAAATATTCCTGCTGGCCGGACACCCCTCCCAACACCACGGCCAACATCTCCTGCCCCTGGTACCTGCCCTGGTACCACAAAGGTAACCGCAGGAGGGATGTGGGGGGTTGGCCGAGGGGGTCGAGCGTGGGGGTGGGGCGCTGACCAGAGCCTGCCCCTCCCAGTGCAGCACCGCCTCGTCTTCAAGAGGTGTGGGCCTGATGGGCAGTGGGTGCGTGGGCCTCGGGGGCAGCCGTGGCGAAACGCCTCCCAGTGCCAGATGGACGACGAGGAGCTTGAAGTCCAGGTCAGCCCGCGGTGGGTGCTGCAGGGTGGGGTTGGGGCTAGGGTGGGGTCGGGCGAGGCGGCCCCCTCCAGCCCCGACTGGCCACTGCCGTTTGCAGAAGGAGGTGGCCAAGATGTACAGCAGCTTCCAGGTGATGTACACGGTGGGCTACTCCCTGTCCCTGGGGGCCCTGTTCCTGGCCCTCGCCACCCTGTTGGGCCTCAGGTACACCCACTGACCTGCACGGGGGTGGGGGTGGTGGGGCCACGGTGGGCAGGGGGGCAGGGACTAACTCGCCATGCCCACAGTAAGCTGCACTGCACCCGCAACTACATCCATATGAACCTGTTCGTGTCCTTCATGCTCAAGGCCAGCTCCGTGCTGGTCATCGACACGCTGCTTAAGACGCGCTACAGCCAGAGGATCGGGGACGACATCAGCGTGAGCGTCTGGCTGAGTGATGAGGTGAGTGCCTGACCCGGTTTCTTGGCCTCCGGGCCCCGGAGTGGCAGGCAGCTGGGAGACCTGTGCTCACACTGCCCCCGTGGCCAGGCAGTGGCTGGCTGCCGGGTGGCCGCGGTGTTCATGCAGTACGGTATCGTGGCCAACTACTGCTGGCTGTTGGTGGAGGGCGTGTACCTGCACAGCCTGCTGAGCCTCGCCGCCGTCCCTGAGAGGAGCTGCTTCCCCCTCTACCTGGGCATCGGCTGGGGTGAGTGGACTGGTGTGTGGAGGTCAGGGGTGAGGGCAGGCAGTCCAGGGCCCCGGGACCAGAACTGTTCTCTCCCCTCCACAGGTGCCCCCATGCTGTTCGTCATCCCCTGGGCCGTGGTCAAATGTCTGTTTGAGAACATCCAGTAAGTACTGGCTGACTGGAGGGCGGGCTGGAGAGGGGCTCACCTCTCCTGGCTGGGAGGTGAGCCCAGCCCCGTGCGGAATGGCCATGTGGCTTCAGAATGTGAAAGCGGCTCGGGGTCTCTGGCCAGCATCAGTTGGGGGGTGGTAAGCAAACCTGGTGCCCCAGGGTGGAGGTCATTGGTAATTATCTCCCTTCTTTTCCTGAGGCACTAATTAGATCCCATAGAATCTATGGGATGGCGGGTGGTGGTGTGGGGCGGGGCATGCTGGGAGGCTGCCAGGACACAAGCAGTCCCTGCCCTGTAGGTGCTGGACTAGCAATGACAACATGGCCTTCTGGTGGATTCTGCGCTTCCCTGTCTTCCTGGCCATCCTGGTGAGGAAACAGGGCACCTTCTGGCACCATAGGGAGGGCTGAGAGGCTGCTGGAGTTGCCCCCCACCCCTCCCTTCCTTCATCGGCCTGCAGCAGCCCAAGGAGACAGACAGCATCCTGCCTGGGTGGACAGGGAGGGAGGCCTGGCACTCTGCCAGGACACTGGCCAGTGCCCTGTGCCTCGGGCCAGGCTTCTCATCCTTAAGTGGGTGCCCACAGCCCTAGGGCCCCGGAAGCCAGGGCCTGGCTGGCTGCCCGGCCCACCTCCAGGAGGGATGGGGGGGGCGGCAAGGGGCTGCCCTGAGCTGTGTTCCCCACATACACAGATCAACTTCTTCATCTTCATCCGTATCCTTCACCTCCTGGTGGCCAAGCTGCGAGCCCACCAGATGCGTTATACTGACTACAAGTTCCGGTGGGTGTGGGGTTGTGGGGGGGTAGAAGGCTTACAGACCCGGACACCCCCGGGGGCCAGAGGGGGTATAGGTGGGTGTGGGGCACCAGAGCCCTGGTGAGGGCCTGGGCCAGGTGGCTCAGGCTCTGCCCCCGCAGGCTGGCCAAGTCCACACTGACCCTCATCCCCCTGCTGGGAGTCCACGAGGTGGTATTCGCCTTTGTGACCGATGAGCACGCCCAGGGCACCCTGCGCTCCGCCAAGCTCTTCTTCGACCTCTTCCTCAGCTCCTTCCAGGTGCCTTCCCACCCCATAACAGCCCAAAACCCAGGCCCTGAGCAGCCCTGACCACCCACCCCCCTACTCTCTCCAGGGTCTGCTGGTGGCTGTTCTCTACTGTTTCCTCAACAAGGAGGTAGGTGAGGGGGTGTGTGTCAGGGGGAGCGTAGACACCCTCACCCTACCCCTCAGGGGTGCAAGCCCCTTGTGTCCACCCGCACTTACTGGGCTCAGTTGCCGGGATGCTGGGTGTCAGGCCTGCCAAGTTGGGTCACCCGCAGCCCCGCACCTAGAGAATGAGGGCTTCCCAGATGTCCCCAGTTTTCTGTGGTGACAGAGCCTGCCTGGCTCCACACCCAGGGCACCACACTGCCCTTCAAAGCTGGCAGCCTGGGGACTCTGGGGGGGTGGCAGGGGCTAGGCCCTGGGTATGGCCCGACCCGCCTGCCCACCCCAGGTGCAGTCAGAGCTGCTGCGGCGCTGGCATCGCTGGCGGGAGGGTAAAGCACTGCAGGAGGAGCGCCACACCGGCAGCCACACGACCAGGCCCCTCAGGGGCCCCCTCAGTGAGAAGCTGCTGCTTTCAAGGGGCAGTGGCAGCAATGGGGCCAGCCAGGACCCCTCTGCTGAGACCCGCTTGGCCGGTGGCCTTCCTGGATCGGCCGAAAACCCCCAGTGAAGCCCCCAGAACTCCAGCTCGGGCTGGACTCAGAGGCCCAGAGAGGCCATCACCAGAAATCTGGAACTGATGTCCAACAAAGGCTAGAGTGTGGAAGCAAGACAGCACCCCACTGTCCACACATTCCCCAGTGTGGTGGTCTGAGGGCACCTGCTCTGTGCCCAGGGGTGGGGGATGGAGTGTGGTGGGAAAGCTGTTCTGTGAACGTGTGCCCCTTTGTCATCCTGGGTCAGCGTGTCCACTTTCAAGGAAACGTGTCCTCCAACAATAAAGAGCTCTGTGTATACCCTGGGTGGAGAGCTGGGCTGGAGGAGAAGGGCCGGCTGAGCCCAGGGCTTCCCCATGAGAAGGGAGTGGCCATGGACAGCCCGTGTGGGCTCACACTCTCCAGATTTCTCCTTGCTACCCTGTCATACCGGTAAATTGGAGCTGGAACCCTTGAGGATGAGTAAGTGGTGGCTGGCAGTGCCCCACCAGCATGTGCTGCCCCCAGCCCAGTTTAGGTGGGCTTACCCCCACCCCCAGCCAGAGTGGACAGTGCCCATTCAGTCTTGGCCCCCCACCCCTGGAGGGTCACCATTCACCTGCAGAGGGAAATGAATGGCATTGATGGCCTAGGGGGGAGCCACTGACATCATAGTCCTACCAACCCCACATGAATCCATCCGGTTCCCTGCTGGAGCCACAGCCAGGGCTGGACTCAGGCCCAGTGAGGGCATCACTGGACAGGCCAGAACTGGATGTCCTCTACTGGTCTCTGCCTCCACCCAAGCATCACAGTCCACCTTGCCAACTGAAGTTGGGGGAGATGAATGCCCCAAATCGAGACCATCCAAGTGCAGGCACAGCAGAGTTTTCCTAAGACCATGGCATAACCCAGCAGAGTCAGTTCAGAGTAAGTCCCTGAAGTCCTTGCTACTCCAGCACGACAGCTGTGCACGAGGGTGTTGTCTGTTGTGTGGTGGGTGGGCACCCTGCTTGGTAGTCAGTGAGGGCTGATGTTCATGCAGAGTCAAGTGGGCACGCCGAGTCCAAGCTGTGGACCCCTGGGGCACAGCACATCTGATGGAGAGGGTAGAGGCAAGTGTAGGAGCATCAGGACTATGGTCATGCCTCACGAGCAGCCCCTGTGGCTGGTGCCATGATGCCTGGTGCAGGGAGGTGTGGAGAAGGGAGGAGCAGGGGTGCTGTCAAAAGAGGAAGAGGCAGTGAGAGCCAAGAGCAGAAGCCAAATGGGCCAGTCAGGTGGCCCTGCTTCTAGGAGCTGGTGGGAAGTGACTGCTGGAACCTGGGGGAGGGGGTGTTCACAGTCCCCGCCCAGCCACGTGGGCTGGAGCTGCTCAGGCAAAGCTGGGTTAATTGGGGCAAATGAAAGGACAGGAGGCCTCTCAGGAAAGGTAAATAGAATTACTCACCTCCCAGGCACTGGGGCCCTCCTGAGGGGTACCCTGACCTCGTGCCACCGGATATTGCAGGGAGGGAAGGGCAGAAAGTGAGCTGCAGTAGACTGGGCTCTCCTGTGGCCCAGGTGGGATAGATGTTACTGTGATTTGTGGGGGCTGCAGGGTAGCAAGGCAGTGTGGCCGACTGCACCTCTGAGGACCTGAGACCTCTGACCTTGAGGCTTCAACCACTTCTTGTCCCAGGCTCCCCAGGCCCGAGCACGCCTCTGAGCCCCTGTCCACAGGGGCACCCCTTCCCGTCCTCCATGCTCAGAAGCCTTGTGGGCACAAGCTAGCAAAGGGAGGGCACAAGTTCTCCTTCACGCCAGCTGAGCTCAGGGTTGGTGACTGCCCTGGGAGTGTGCCACTCACCCAGGGGCCTCCTGACAGCCCTCCCCATCCTGACTCCCTCTGCCCTTGTCCTCCTCCACCTTGTCCCTGTCCCCAAGGGAACTGGAACAGGCTGGTGAAGTCAAGGGTGGAGGTGGAGGCCGGGCAGGGGCTGGACTCATCCAGCCAATAAACATAGACTCTGACCAGGCTGTCCTGCAGGTGGGGTGGAGGGGCTACAGGTGGGGGAACCCACGTTCCAAAGCAGGGCCCAGCACCCACACAGCATCACCCTGCATTCAAGAAGATGAACGTTCCAGGCTCTCTGCCCCTTCGCCATCTCTGCTTCCCTTCCCACCTCCACCCCAGCCCTTCATCTCATGCCCTTCCCCCAAAAGCATGGAAACTACCCAGAGTGTGTGTCTGTGTATGTGTGTTTGTGTGTGTGGAGCACTCAGAGGGACTATAATAAACAAGGATCACACCTAGGAGAGTGAGGGGCATTCCCAGGATGGCACTAGTGTGCCAGGCAGAGTGGGTCACTGGGGGAGGCAGCCTTAAGCAGGGCAAGTTTACAGGAGAGACATCCTCAGGGAGATCAAAGTGACTGAACACACTGAGAAAAGATTTAGATAACCTGGTGGAGAGTTCAGGTCTTTAGTGTTAGAACATAGAAAACTAAGAAAATGAAAAAAGGAGGCAATAATAACTTCAAGAACAGAAAGTTGAGCAGAAAAGAAAAAAAATCACAATTTACCACATGGCTCAGCTCTGAACATACAGACATCATAATTTAAATACTCAACACTGATGTAACCAAAGTTATGAGAGAAAAAAAAAAAAACTAGGGAGGACAGTAGATGGTAAAAACACGTGTGTGTAGTGCCAGTGGTAAACAATCCTCCTGCTAATGCAAGAAAAGTAAGAGAAGTGGGCTTGATCCCTGGAGTTGGGAAGATCCCTGGGTCAGGAAGATCCCCTGGAGAAGGAAATGGCAACCCACTCCAGTATTCCTGCCTGGAGGATCCCATGGACAGAGGATGGGGCTACAGTCCATGGGTTGCAGAGTAGGACATGACTAGAGCACACATGCAAATAAGTTGGGCTGGGGGTAAGAAGGAAAGGGTAAGAAGTAACCATTCATGTATGCTATTTAAAAATAGAAACACAAAAGAATCAGCAGGAAAGTTGAAAGTGGTTGCCTCTAAGTGAGAGTCAGAGAAGTCTGAGGGCTGCACCTGGCCAAACTCTCTGACGGCCTGGGCCTCCTCCTGGACACTGTGGCAGCCTTCAGTCCCGGGTCCTTCCCTGCCTGCCCTTTCTCTTACCTTGCTCTCCACTACTCGCAGGCCCGTCCTGCTTCCTCCTCCTTCCCCTGAACACAGGGACCGTGTATCAGGTCCCACCCTCCTCCCTTCCTCATCAACATTAAAATTACTCCCAACCTTTATCTCCAACCCCTGTGACCCCTCCAGATCCACACTAGACTCACCTTCCCACTTGGCACCTCTACTTAAGACATCCAATGGCATCTCGAATTCCACTGCCCACGTTAAGCATGGGCATGTTACCCCCTCACCCAGCTTCTTCCTTCCACGATTCACCAGAGGTAGCCCTCCTGTCTTCCCACTTCTACCCTGAGTCTTATGGCCTGTTTTCAACACAGCAGCCAGAGCGATCCGTTTACACCCAAAGTCTGCTCCAATGAATTCCATCACGCATCATATCTCATCTCAGTTTACAAAAATGCAGGGAACAGAGGCGCCTGTTAACACTACAATGATGCCACCAGCCAAAACCAGAATTTGGGAAACTCCAACATCAGGTATCCAGGGAGTCTTCAATCATAAATGGAGGGAAAATGTAGGAGGCAGTACTAGGGACACATCAAGCTGATGCAGCTGATGCACTTGGCCTTTCTGAGTGTATAACCCATGAGGAATACATTATTGTTGACAGTAGGGGACTATGGACTGGGTATTACGTGACACTGGGGAATTGTTGTTTATGCTCAATACACATGAACATGCTCAGAGTACATACTCAGCAAGTACGTGCTAAATGCAGATTTTTATAAACAAGCTTAAAAATCAGATATGGCCAGTCTCCTACAGCAGGTCACCATTCCCTCATATGGAAGATGTGGGCAATAAAATCGCCCCCTCCTTGAGGTGTCATGGTAATAACCCCGTCCCCCACCAAGTCGCCAGCACAGAATAAAAGCAGAGACGTGTATGGCACTGCCAAGGGTAGAATGTGATGGAGGTGTGGGTACCCCGTCCACCAGGACACTCCCTCATCTCCTCTGCCCTCACTGTCTGAGGCTAGGGAAGGTGTCTCCAGCCACTCAGGGTCGACCAGACAGCCCACCATGCTGGTAAGGATTCTATCACCGCTACCCCCAAGTTCCTCAACACCACTCCCCTGCAACCCCAGCAGTCTGTTAACCACATTCCCACCTCTGAAGACTCCAGGCCTAGGGCTTCTACCTCAGAAAATCTTAAGTTGGCGGGGACAGCAAGAATGAAAAGGCCTTGAGGGTTGTCCCATGGGCCCACCCACACAGGGGCAAGTATCAGTGCTAGCAGGTGAGGCCAGGGAGGGTGGTTGTAGACAGAGGCAACCCAGATGCTGGGGGCCCAGTGTGCCACCATTCCCACTTTCCAACCGCACAAGAGGGAGGAATGACCCAGAGAGGGCTGGGAGCAAAGTCAAGTCGATTTTTAACCAACGCAACATATTAGGTTTTTCCAGTGTGCTGCCAGGGGGCCTGAACACCCCTTCAGGGGGAGGCCTTCCAGGCACCACAGCCCAAACCCTCACTTTAAATGGGAAACTGAGGCAGAACAGCAGTGTTACATGCCCCAGAGTTCACAGCAAGGCCAGGACCGTGGCTGCGAGAAGGCAGACATCCAGGCTCCAGAAGTCTTACGGGTCGAGTGCCCTGTCGAGCATCCATGAGGTGACTATAGCGGCAGCAGGCCCTAATACTTGGCAACCACCCAGAGGAAGGTGCTAACCTCCCCTTCAGGAAACTGAGGCTTCAAGACTCAGCAGCTTGCTCAATGCCACACGTGCAGCAGTGGCTTAGCTGGGTTCAGGCCCACCCCTCCCCTTCCCCAACGGGGGATCTCTGCTGGCCGACCATCACCCCATCCTCAGTGGTCTCTGACATGTTGGGGGGAGGGTACGTGTGCCCACTGAGCCTCTGACCACAGGGCCTGGAATGCCAGCCAGGCCACGCCCACCTCCTTCCAGCCACAGACAGGGGGGCTGTGTGGGTGACCCAGCCCAGCAGGCAGTCAAACCCTTGGCAGGATGCCCCATAGGTCCCTGGGGAGCAAACAGGCCTGTGTGGTTACAGGAACTGGGCTCAGGGCCTGGCACCAGCCAACGCCCACTGACTGCTGCTTACTGCATGAACCATCCTTCCTGTACCCTCATCCCTGGGGAACCCCCTCCAGGAGAAGGCGTCTCCCAGAGCCACCTGTGGGGCCGCTGGAGCCCCAGAATACTCTAACAGGAAAGGCTGCTCCCGAAATAAATTCCGCTTTGGCTTGTCCGCCAGGGCTACGTCCAGGTCTGAAGGTCAAGTGCACTGGGGCTATCCAAGTCCAGCAGCCACCCTCCCTGGACAGTAGACAGGCCACCCCCCAAGGGCCCAGTGCTGCCAAGGGATGTCTTACCTTCAGGGCCCCCACCTCCACCTCCCACTGCCCTCCTGAAGCCCAAGCCCCCTGGTGGAGCCCAGGGATCAGACGGAACTTCTGGGTCTTAGACTCCCAGCCCCGTGTGGGTAGCTGAGAAAAACAGGGGGCTCACAGACCAAGTTGCCAAGCCAATGTCACCCCACCTTTATTTACTGGTCCTCAGGTTTCCAGTCAGACACTTGGATCTGGAGGGCACAGAAAGAAAAAATGGCCCTGAAGACCCTCCCAACTCACCACACAGAGCAGGACCCACTGGGTAGCCTTGCCAGCTCATGCCAGCCCCACGCCCCTTCCCAAAGGCGGGCAAGACCTGGCTGCCTAGAACCCGTGGAGGGGGCACCCAGCAGTGTGCCAGGCCCGGAGAGCTGGTGTCATCCTGAAGCTGACAGGGAAGGAAGGGGCCAGGCTGGACAATGAGGTGGGGGGGGGGGTGTCAGACGCTCCTGGTGCCCAGGCCACAGATGCAACAGGGGTCGGTGAGGGACCCATGCTGGGTGTGGGTGGGACCACCCTGTCCTGGCTCCTGGCCACTTCAGGACAAAACCAGCCCAGTCCCACAGCACAGGAGACAACAAAGGGCTCCTCATCTCCCTCCTGATCCTGGAAGTGGCCAGGGGTTGGGAGGTGGGGGCAGGAGAAGGTGGTAAGAATCAGGGTCAGGGCCCTGGGGGGCAGGCAGGACCAGCAGCTCCAAAGGTCCAGCCAGGCCTGGGGGGCACGGGCTGGCAGGGCCGAGGCCCTCCTAGGGAGGGGGGTAACCTGAGATCCCCCGAGAGGAAAGGAGAGGCTCGGGGAGGAGGGGCAGGCCTTGGCCATCAATCATGCCTGTCCTGGTCCTGGGATTTTTGGCCCACTGGGAGCAAGGCCCCCTCCCCCTCCCAGGAGCTGAGCCCACAGGAGAGGAGGCGGCCAGCGGCAGGCTGCACCCAGATCTCCCGGAGGCCAGGGGAGGGGCACTGGTGCGCCTTAGGACTTCTTGGCGTCCTGCGTGTTCCGGCGCTTCAGGTCGCTCAGGTCGATGGGCTTGAAGGCTGCCAAGGGACAGAATGGTCAGTGGTGGGTGCGGGTGGAGAGGCAGGGTCTGTCCCTTGTCCTGCCCTTGCCTCTGAAAGCCCTGGGATCGAGGCCCACCCAACCAGGCTGTCTTGGAAGCAGCAGGCGGGTGGGCCTTCCTGCCTCCGAGCCGGCCCCTCACGCCCAGGGCAGCCCCACTTACTCTTCAGGCTGGGGTTAGGAACCTTTTCCACGTACTCCTCCACCAGGCCCCGCTCGCTGCCCGACATCTGGCTGCGCAGGTCCCGCTCCACACCCTGCCAGGCTGCAGGAAGCAGGGGTTGTCAGGGCCCCGACCCCCGGGCCTGCAATCCGGCCCCATTAGTGTCCAAGCAGATGGCACCGGCTCCTGCTGTCCCTCCCCTCCGAGTGGCCCCACAGGCCCCACGCGCCCAAACTCCCACTTCAACAGTTTCTGGCCCCTGAGTCCAGCCTGCTCTTAACCTGAACTTGTCCTCAACACACCCTGCTCCCTCGAGGAGCCCTGCCCAAGCCATGCCCCTTTCGGCCTCATGGTACCATGACCAGAGCTGCAGTCACAGAGGCATATGAGGCCCACTAGAGTACAGCACTTCCTCCAGGTGGGCGCCCCATCTTTCCCACGTCCTGGCCCCCACCTCCCAGCACAAATGCTGTGCACACGTGCTCACACCTCCACACCACTCCCAAGACACCCCAGGTTCCCCAGGGTGCACCATCTTCCATGGCACCCCTCTTCCCAAGCAAACACCACTGACTCCAAACATTGCCTCTTCTGGGGTGCTGCCTGTCAGGAACACCACAGTGCTGACCAGGCACACCCGGGACCAGAACAGGTCTCCACACCCCAAAGGAGTGCAGGGGAAAAGGGGCTCAGGGTGCCTGACTGGGGACACCCCACGTACCTTCGTAAATGAAGCGCACATTCTCCTCGTGGGCCGGCGTGAAGATCTCGCTGCTGTTGGGGGGAGAGCGGGGGCTACTGTTCCTCTTGCCGTTGTAGACGACTCTGGAGACGGGGGAACTGGGGGGAGCCCGGCCCATGAGGAGGGGCTACAGGGCAGGGCCCCCCCACACCTGGAGGTCATTCCACTACCTAAGACCCACCTGGTCATCGCTGGGGTGTCTGGTCCTCGCACTCCACTGCCGGATCCCCTCGGCCTCTGGAAGAGAAGGCCCATGACAAAGGGGTGGGATGGAGGCCACCCTGCCACCCTCTCCAGAAGGGGTCCAGGAGTGGGAAAGGCGTGGGGTCATTTGCCTCTTCCCTTTAGCTGTGATCTCCCTGTCTTCCAGGAGACAGGGTCGAGCCACAATCCAGCTGGCTAAGGGTACAGTACCGTTAGCCAAATGCAGCCAGGGGTCGCCAACAGGCATGAGTTGGAGCAGCTTGAGCTCCAAGTGGACCCCACACTTGGATCACCGTGGCCCAGGGAGCATCTACCCCAGGGTCAGGAAGGCCTGTTGAAATTCCCAGTTCAAGTCTCAGAACACCACTCCTGACAGCGCGCAGAGCGGCAGGAAAGGCCTGCAGTCGTCCAGTGCCCTCATGGCCTACAGGGCCTAGTATCTTGTTTGCACTGAGCCTCAGTTTCCTATCTGTAAAATGGGGATATGCTTCCCAATGGGAAAAGTGCCTGCCTGGCTTCCTGGTCCCCAGGGTGTGACAGGAGGGCTGGGGAAGGGCTGTGAGCCTGGAGGAAGCCATCAGGTCAATCCTGGTGACCGAGACTCGGGTGTGTCCTGTTTACAGGCTCTCTCAGCCCAGGAACCAGACAGCCCTGGATGGGGGTCTATTTTTAGACTCACTCTCAAACTGCCCAATTGGACAAAGTCCCCTCTCTGGCTGAGGACACACACCGCAGGGTGAGGAAGCTAGTTGCACAGGGCTAGTCCCAGGCCTGGCCTTGCCCCAGAGTAGGCCAACCCCAAGTGCTGGGGAAAGGGGGACGCCTGGGAACAGCCTGTGAGCACAAGCGCCTCCCCTCCCCAGCCCCTGGAGCCTGGGGGCCCCAGAATGCTCAGAGCATGTAGCCACAGACCCTCCTGAAGAGCCTGGAAGATGAGACCCAGTGGATACTTCCTCTCTGGCTCCTTTGGCATTTAAACACCTGCACAGGGGGACTTCCCTAGTGGTCCAGGGGTTAAGACACTGTGCTCCCACTGCAGAGGCCGTGCGTTTGATCCCTGGTAGGGAACTGAGATCACACATGCTGCACAGCACAGCTGGGGGAAAAATCTGCACAGGTAAAACAGCCTACAAGCTGAGGTAGTGACAACAAAGCATAAAGCCAGCTTCCGGAGGGCACATGGAAGCCTATGCCCTCCCAGGAGAGGGGCCCTGCTCCTCACAAAGTGACTTCTCCTTTCTCTGGACTCAAGGGATCTCACTGCCTATGATTCTCCTGTCCAGGTGCCAGTCCCAAAGACACCAGAGCAAAGAGGGAAAGCCCTCTCTGGCCTGAGGGTGCCCTGGGGACACTGAAGAGGCTCAAGAACACTCACGTCTCAAGGTGCTGCTGGCAGCGCAATAAGGTAGGAGGCTTCAATTAAGCAAGAGAAGGGATCAGCCATCCCCCGCCCAGTCCAGGCTGGCCCCTCATGCCCAGGCCCCTTCAGCCCTCCTGCAGTCTGTCCTCTCAGACCTTGGGGGCCACTTCTTCAGGGTACCTGCCTCTCCAGCTTTGTCCATCTCCAGGGCCTCTTCTTTCTAGGGCAGCCTGGGTTTGGCCTCCTCTGGTCACAGCCTGAGAGCTGCCTGGCTTTTGCGGGTGCCTGACTTTGGTCCAGGGCCCCGTTCGGTCTCAGGCCTAACTCAGAGGCCAGCCCCTTCCAGCTCCCATTGCCCCGACTGCACACACACACATGCAATGGCTCTGGGGTTCTCTGAGCAGCTCACCTGCTCCCCTTGGTCTCCGCACTCCCAAGGCCTGGGCCCCAGGCCCCTGGAGCATTTGGTCTCCACAGTGGGAACCCACCCCTTGCTGCCCCCACCAGCCACGCTTCCTGACCACAGGCTAGAATCCCCCACGAGCCATGGAGCTGTGTACCTGTCACTGGGCACTTGTCCACACGGATATGTTACTTGAGTTAACAAGGTTTCTGGTGCCCTGGACAGAGCGGCCAGGAAGTACCCTGGCCAGGGGCAAGACACCCACAGGCTCTCATGTCCTCGGGACTTAAAAGGACTTTTTAAAAAGGAGTCATTGTCTGCCTCCTCTCGATGGGGGAGGTCACACCCAACCAGGTCTGTCTTTAATGGCCTGTGTCCTAACAGCTGGTTCCTACTCGTGAGGAACCCCCAAGTCCTCTGTTTTCTCCCAACAGCTTGGCCTCCCTCCAGGGGCCTTTCTCCTTAGGACCTCGGGCTGGCCCTGCCCCGTCCCCGTGGATACCCTGCCTCCTGTGGGATGCAAGGACACCAAGGCTTCACCTGAGTGTACCAGCAGCTTCCTGCGGGGCCAGGACCTGCTGCTCCCCTGAAGACAGAGGGACAGTGAGCTGCACTCGCTCACCTTCATCACCTCCTGAAGCTCCTCCAAGAAGGTGGGCCCCCCATGCTGACCCCAAAGGAAATTTCCAGGAAAAATCTAACAAATACGCATCCCCCATGACAGCCATTCCAGTTCCAGGATATACCCAAAGGAAAGGGCCTGGTGGCTACCGAGAGGTGCACAGGAGCAACCAGAGAAACAGCACTTGCCGAGGGAGAGCCACTGAAAGTGGCCCATGTACACTGGGCCTGTTTCCGCCTTGGAAGGTGACAGCTATAAGAATGAGCCATGGCAACGGCGGGCGAATCATACCACTGATGCTAAAAACAGAAGCCTGGGACACACGGCTGTCCAGTGGAGAGGGCCGAGCTGCAAGGCGTGGACAAGGGAGACAAAACAAGGTCAGGGAGGAGGTATCTAAAAGGGCAGCTGGACTCAAGGAAGGCCAGGGCAGAGAGGTGACCACTGAGCCACCATGACAAAATCCCCAACGACCTAGCATGAAGGGGCTCAGTGGAGTGAGGGAAGGAAGTGGGACCATCGGCTAAGACTGCCTGTCCCTGACAATTGGTTGTGAAGAGAGGCACGAGGCCTGGGCTGACAGTGGTGTGTGTGGTGAAGCAAAGGGAAACATTTACTGTCTGGGGAAAGTGCTGAGCAGGGCCTCTACAGAGGTGACTGCAGAGAAGCCAGGCGACCAGCAGGCTGGGGAGAACGGCACGCCTGGAAAAGCGCCAGGGACACCTAAAAAGGCCCAGTAGGCCACGAGAGTCCCCTGAGGTTGGAGTTTCCAGTCCATCTGGCCAATGGGGAGGGAGTATCCACTTCTGCAAACATCTCCCTCCTCTTGTTTGCTTTCCGACTTTCGTTTACCATGATTATCAAGGACAATTATTTCCTGAAGACCGGAGCTCAAAACCTCACTACATATACTACATCCCATCAACTCTGAGAAACTTTTTTACCCTTTTAATAGCTTTGAAATCAGGTTGTATCTGGCAATCGCCAGCACAAAGGTTAGCACCATTTTTTCATGCTCCGTGGAGCTTGTGAGGCCCAGCTCACACTACTGAGGTCTCAGATCTGATGATGCTGAGCTTCCCCTCGGCCCACAGATCCCAAGCCTCCCCCTACATGTATGTACTCTTCAGTTACTTCTTCCCATTCCCACCCACCCCTGGTCCGACACCCACTGCTCACTCTCCAATCCATGACGGGACAGCACCCTGCACTACCCTCCTCCATCCCTGGTTCACATGATGCCAGCATGATCTTCCCAAAACCTCTCCCCACCCAAGTCACTCCCCACCCAGACATACCAGGGCCTTCTACTGCCATCACGCCCTCAGTCTGGCCACAATCTAATTCACCAGGTGTGGGTGTCACCAGCTACTGGGCCCCCAGCCCATCCCAAACACAGTCTGAGCCACAGAGCCACCTCTGCTGGTGCCAGAGTCACAGAGAACCACAGAAAGTCCCCCGGTGTGCTCCACAGGCCTTGACTGTTGTCCACAACAGCCCAGCCCATAGCAGCCAGTGGGCTGCATGCTCAGCACCCAGCAGGGTCTAGAACCACTCTGTGACTGGGGGTCATCCATTGCTGCTCTGTCACCCCCGGGCAGGTCTCTTCCCTCTATGGGCCGTGGAGTCTCCATCTGAGCTAAAACAACCCCCAAGAATGTTCACTAGGCCTTCCTGCTCAAAGGGACCCAAGTACAGCCACATGAAGCCACAACGTCAAACAAGATCTCCATGGCTGCTTATCCAACAAGACAGTGGACAGGGCAATCATAGAAGGAATGCATCATCCAACTGGGCATTTCTGAGAGTAAAAGGGCTGCTCTTGATTACGAAGTGTGAGCCAGGACAGCCTTGGGCAAACTGAATGCAGAGAGTTTCCTCAGGCATGGTGGAGACCCACAAACATATGACACTGTGGAGGGGCAGCAGCCAAGGGCCAACTGTGCAAGAGCCATTGCACTGAGTCAGGGAGAACACCGATAAACCCCGTTTTGGAGGTTTAGCGGATGAAGCAACCTGCCATTCAGCAGAGTGGGGTGTGGGCCCCAAGAGACTCCCGACCTCTCGGCCTCCCAGGCCACAGAAATCAGGGCTAGGCTAGGATGATTGAGCTGCCCTGAGCACCCCAGACTGCCTCTGCCTTCGCTTGTGCCCCTGGCAGGTTCCAGACCCCTGGCACCAATGTGGTTATGCTTAGAGACAGGGAGGGACTCTTCCTGGATGGATCTATGTAGTGCCTTGCTCTTTCATGGGGGAAAAAAGGGCTTCAGAGACCTCCAGGGAGGAGGAATGCTGGGAAGGGAGCCCAAAGCCCAGTCTCCAGACTGCCAGTCTCGAACTCTTTCCCCACACACAGCCATATGTCTAAAGACGGGGTGAGCTGATATTCTGTTGTCTGGAAAAGTGACAATGGATATTCCGGAGTTAAGAATCAATGATGCAATTGCAGCCACTCTGTGTTCCTTTAAAATTTTTGGTAGGTACTCAAATTTTCTCAAGACTCCATTTCGCCTTCATATTCTGTGTCTCTGGGTCTCTCAACAGCCCAGTTTCTACCAATGAGACTTTTAGAAGGCAATCTACCACTCAAGCAAGTACCAGCAGGACACTGCTGTTTTAGATGCCAAATGGGCCTGGCAACCCTTGAAGACCCCCAGGCGAAGACTCTAAGCACTGCACCACCCCTCTCCCTCTTTTCTTGGTGACAGCAGCAGCTTCTCTCCCAAGCAACAAACCCCAATGTATGCATTCCCCTCTTCCTCACTTGGAAATCTCGCCAGCCCTTCCACTCACCCCAAATCAAGCCTCCTCCTTCAAGACTTGGCGCCTGCCCCTTCCCTCCCACCACGGCTTTCTAAAAGCTCTGGACACTCCCCCTGACACCTCAAAGGCTTTTGCTCAAAATGTCCCATCCGCCCAAAATCATCGCCCTGGCCCTGGGGGCCTGGCTCATGACCATCTTCTCTGGGAAGTCTTCCTAGGAGGCAGGTGGGGGACACGACTTGTGCGTCTCCGCGTTACCCGAAGTTTCTCACAAACCTCGGTCGCTCCGTTCGCGGCCTCCCCATGGCGGTCCCCGCCCACCCCGGCATCCCCCGGGGTTCCGGTGAGCTCCCCGAGGACTGGCAGCCTCTTACCCCCTTCCCTCCCCTGACACTGCCTCGCCCAGCTCGGAGACCAGGAGCGTGGGACACGCGGGACGGCGACGGAGGGCGAACCACGGGAGCCCGGCCGGCCGCGCTTCGCGGTCAAGAAGCATCGTCAGGGCTGCTCCCCGGACGACGAGGAGGCGGCAGCTTCAGCGACGGAGAACGGCGGCCCGCTGCTCCCTCTGAGCCCCTTGCCCCGCCCCGCCTCGCGGCACCCTTCCCTAGCCTCCGCCGCGGCGGGCCGGGAACCCCGCAACCCAGCCCGGGGCCCTCCCCTCGCGGCCGCCGCGCCAGGGCGGGTCCGGGCCGCGCCCGCCCCGCCCCCGCCGCTGCCGCCTCACCTCGCCCTCTCGGCCGCCGCCGCCGCTGCCAGGGGCCCGGCCGGAAGTGACGCGTCGCCGCCGCGCACGCGCACTGGCCCAGGTCACGTGACCGCCGGCGCGGGGAGGGGCGGAGACTGAGGGCTGGGGCCGAGAGGCTGGGGTCTGAGGGGTTCTTGGAGTTCGTGCCAGCCGGGTACGAGGGATGTCGAGGACAGTCTCCTGGGTCAGTGGGGTCGGGGTTCTGGGACAGACAGGGCCTGGGAGTAGCGGGATCGATGGACGGCATGGACCGGCGGTCGGGAGCCACGAGACTCTAGCTGCTTGCTCCGACACTGCCGGATCCCCAGACCAGAGTAGACGGCGGTTGTCCGCTGACCACCGGAGCAGCCGGAGCCGAAAGACTGGGACAGGGCGGTCCCCAGTAATCAGGCCATCACCACGGGCTTGGGAATCACGTTTATTGAAAAAGTAAAAAGTATAGCAATAAAAAAAAAAAAATTCACCCGAAGAAAAAGCCAGGTCGCGGTTGGGAGAGGGGAGGGGTTTTGCCCAGGTGTGGGATCCTGGCCAGTCTGGCCGGCCCATAGCCCCGCTGGTGGGGCACTCCTGGCATCCGGGGGAGATGGGCACCTGACTTCTCCAGGCAGGGCTAGCGCCCTGGGAGGGCAGGGCTGGGCTCAGTCCATCTTAGTCCCTTTGAATAGCTCCACCAAGTCTTTGAATTCCGGGTCAATGAGGTCTGAAGGCAGATCTCCATCGTCGTTTGCCGCTTCTCTGTCTGCCCCCAGGGAAATGAGGTACCTGGGGTGCAAAGGGCAGCCCTGGTTGAGGAGGGAATGTGGCCTGGAGAATGCTCACCCTTGCCTGAGGGTAGCAGCATGCAGTTCTGAGATCTACCTGTTTTTTCTCTTTCCAGGTGAGGTGAGGAGAAAGAAACCGACCCTTTGGAAGCTTCGCTAACTTTTGCAGTTTGCTCTCGGGAGGCAACAGGGCAGAAAGGAGATTCCAGAAGCCCTTAGGGTTTTTAGCTATACTAGCAGGGCCACCTTTTGGGGGACTACATCCTGGAGGCCACCCTCTCACCTGGCTATATCAGGGTATCCGTCGCTGCAGGCGATGTGCAGGGGTGTCCAGCCTGTCTCGTCTCGCTGATGAATGTCTGCCCCATATTTGACTAGCAGCTTCACACACTCAAGGTTTCCAGAAAGCACTGCTTCATGAAGGGCCGCCAGGCCTGGATAGGACAGGAGGGGTCAAGGCTCAGGCCTTCCCCTGCCACCCCACAGAGCCTCACCGGCCCCGCAGGCACTCACCTGAGGGGTAGATGGTGTCCAGGGAGACTTTCCGAGTCCGGATGAAGCGCCCCACCTGCTCCAGGTCGCCCTGGCGGATGTGGTCCAAGAACAGGACGTCATTAGGGAAGCGCACGCTGCGATCAGCCAGGAGCCTCCGGCGCCGTTGCCTTGGGCTGTAGCGGGCATAGCGGGCTGTTCTGCTGGGCATCCTGGCAGCTATGGTTTGGGCCACCCCTGTGGGGACCCTCCTGCTCGAGGAAGGAAGGTGCACGGACCTGAACCGTGTGCAGGCTCTTCTGACTGACGGTGACCTCCGGCACCGCCGCCACAGTGCTCTCCCTGCTCCCGTTGGCCAGGGCACCTTCTTATATAGGGCCGGCAGAGCTATATAAAGCTGCGCAGTCATGCTCGCACCCGAGGGGCTGAAACTGAGCCGCTCCAGCCCTGCCCTCAGGATCATGTTTAGTGGTTCATCTTTCAGCCCACCTGTCGCTGTGCCTGGCCAAAGGGGTCAGATCCTTCCTGGCCACTGCTCCCTGCCCCACAACTGGACCTCGAAGGTGCTTGACAGAGGGCAGGAGAGGCACTAGAAGGGCAAGGCCCATAAGCAAGGCGGACAGATAACCAAGGTCATGAGGACCAGGGTCTCCCTCCGTCCCGAGAACTTGGGGAGAAGGGCATGATACATGATAAGCACAGCTACCTCTGCCCACTGGGAAGGCGAGGGGATGGCCCACACCTGAGGAAGCACAGGAGAGGCTGTACAGAAGAAGGCCCAGCCCAACCCATCTCCCTGTCATTTGTCACTTTCTATCATGGCTTGTATCACTCTCAGGGCAGTTTTCCTAAAACGTGGGCTTCTGTGGCACTGCCCTTCTGCTTGGAAACCTCCGAGATTAGAGTCAAAATGCACAACTTCCCCGGTGATCCCGTGGCTAAGACTCCCCTCTCCCAATGCAGGTGGCTGGGTTCATCCCTGGTCAGGGAACTAGATCCCACATGCCGCGAGGAAAGATCCTTCATGCTGCAAGGAAATAGAAGATATCATGTGCCACAACGAAGACCCAGTGCAGCCAAATATTATTTTTAAAAAAGTTTCCCTGTATTATTAAGTTTTATTTATGTATTTATTTGTGGCTTCACTGGTTCTCTGTTGCTGCTCGCTGGCTTTCTCTAGTTGGGGTGAGGGATGACTACTGTTCATTGTGGTGTACAGGCTTCTCATTGCAGAGGCTTCTCGTTGCAGTGCATGGGCTCTAGAGCTCATAGGCTCGGTAGTTGTGGCTCACAGGGCTTATTTTTCCCTCTGTGTATGAACTCTTCCCAGAGCAGGGGTTGAACCTGTGTCTCCTGTATTGGGAGGCAGCTTCTTAACCACTGGACCACCAGGGAAGTCTAAATTTCTCCTTTTAATAAGGACACCAGCCTACTGGTGTCCAGGAAGTAGGGCCCACCCTACTCCAGTTTGACCTCATCCTAACCAGTTACATCTGCAGCGACTCCATTTCCAAATAAGGTCACATGCTGGAGTACTGGGAGTTAACACTTCAGCATATAAATATTGAGGGGCACAGTTTGGCCCCTAATGCTGGCAAGATCCTCCAGGCAGTCACTAAAGACCTGGATGCTGGAGATGGGCCAGCAGTCTCGTGGGGGGCAGGAACTTGGTTACGAGAAGTCCTTGCACCACCATGTTGATCTCGTTCCAACAAAATCAACAAATTCATCAACACTCCAGGTGCAAAGACCTGGGCCAAATGCTGCAGAAAACTGCACTGCCCTGATGGGGTTTCTTTTCCTGCCTCTGTGCCGCTGACGTTCCCTGGGAAACCACCCGGCCCACGCCCTGCGGGGCCCCAAGGGAGGGGTGGTTCCCAGGGCTCCTGCATTTCAGGCTCAGAGTGTAGTGCTGGGCAATCCCAGCTCTTGATCACTTGTATCATGAGCGGGTACAATTTCTATCAGCATGTTTACATGAAGCCCAGAGACAGAGTACCATGCTGTACACAGAGACAGAACTTTCCTTTGATGTGAAGATTGCCTTTTCTGCTGTTGTGGAAAGTTCTGCCTGCCGTGCTCAGAGGATCAAATGAAAGAACTCTGGATGAAGAAACTGCCACCAAAAGCCTGGCCAGATAGGGCAAACCATCAGGGTGGGCCTACTAGTGACCCCAAGAAGGACCCTCCCACTCCATCCTGCTAGAGGCAAGCTGAGAAAGCTCAGGATCTGGGCTCTGGGGTTTCTGTTTGAATATTTGGATCAGAGAAGGGACAGATGCCTGAAAGGTATTCTGGTGACAACTTGGGAAACACGTCCTCAAAGCCATGGACACAGCCTGTAGCAACTTTTGGCAGAAGTCAGCCGTGAGCAGTCTAACCTGCTATTCGCACAGCCACACCAGCACCAAACCTGTATTTACACAGCTTTGTCCCTGAGCCTCTGCCCATGTGAACTTGTCAAGTGACCTGGTTTGCACAAAACATTCTGCTTTCTGGAGAACTGAATGAAGCAACCCGAAACAGTTAATGGAGAACGCTCACTTTGAAAAGTCCAAGGAGACTCAACTAGCAGAGGTCTGCCTCCAGTAGAAAACAAGCCAGGGGCCTGGAGGGGAGTCTGCGCAGGCCCACTCGGCCGCCTCCCAGCAGATGCAGAAGCCAGATCTTGAGGGTCCAGTACACAGCCCCAGCAGCTGCTTTATAGGTTCCAGGCCAATCGCTTCCTACCACCTGGAAAGAGGAAGAGAGAGATTGGGACGCCCTAGGCTGTTAAGCCCTGACTGCCTACCCCAGAGCCCGCAAAGTTACCTTGCTAATCCACCAGCCCTGCCTGGTCTGGGACTCCAACCACCACCTCCCAGCAATCCCAGGCCCAGGAATGTGCTAATCAGCTGCCTGGGCAAAAGGGGAAAGGTATCGGTGACTCACTCCCCCTCCTAGGAGCACATGACATGACGACATGCTCTGGGCAGCAATGCCTGCTCCCAAACTTTCTGCACGGAGGGCCAGGCTCTTCGGAGTTGGTCAGCGGGGTCACCAGCATCCATTATGGGGCAAAGCCCATCCCTCGCAGCTGGGACTCTGGACAGCCCTGCCATCAGCCCACCCTGGATCCGCTTTTCTGGAATCCACACGTGTACCTCTGGGAACCCTCTCCCATTTTGGAGGGCAGGGCTATCGTCTCCCCGGAAATCTCCCACAGAACCTCCAAGTGCCCGAGCTCACTACTTTGCGAATACATGTCTCACCGTATCAGCAGGACTGAGGCACAACACACACAGACCCTGGAACAGCCCCAGCACAGGACACCTGAGAACCAGGGACGGGAGCCCCGCTGTGGGCTGAGCTGGGGAGCAGTACTCGGATGACAGAGTGTGTGGACAAGCCAGGGTTTAGTTGCTGCTGCCCACGGTGCTAATGCTAGGTTGTAGCTGAATACCAGCTATATACCACATGCCCAGGTGGGAGAAGGGAGGAGCCCTGGGGTTTGAGGGCATGGAGCAGACACACAGGCCTCTGGCTGGAACGTAGCCATGGTCATGGGGGAAATAACACACACACACCTCCCCGCAGACTGAGACCACCAAGGGAACCACATTCATAGCAAGTCTCACCATCATATCTGCCAGACATGCCCCAGCCATCTCCAGGGCCCCAGCAGCATCAGAGCTGGGGGCCGCGGATCGGGTAAGGTGCACATACTTCCTACTCCGGCAGCATGTTGGAGGGGCTGATGGAGCACGTGGAGTCAACCTGGGCTCCTCGGAGACCTAGCCACATTTGCTGTTCTTGACCTCCCAAAGTGGGCTAGATCTCCACCCGTTTCCTCCGAGAATGACATCAATGTCCCACTGTGAGTACAGACATGTGCACAGAACAGACAGGAAACTCTGCCCTGGGTAGGGGTGCCCTGGCTGGGGACTGATGCCCACCCGAGCCCTGCTGGCTCCTGTCCCAGAGCCCTCGTGGAACCCCAAAACCCAAGTGGTGTCCCCAGTCCAGGTTCAGGTGCCATCAGCCACTGCAGCCAGGATGACAGCTTTGAGTCATGGTTTTTGAGTTTTGGTTTTTCAGTCTGCGGGGGTAGGGGGAAGGAAAGGTCAACTGAACTACTCTTCCTTATGTGAACTGTGCGTAAGCAGAGGCTCTAAGGAGTCAAATTACATTTTAAAAACATAAGAGATTTGCTATCTTAACATCAGATTCTTTTTTACACAAAGGTCTAGTGATGAGAACAGCGCTTTTTTAAAAAAATTTTTTAATTTACTCCAGCTGTGCTGGATCCTAGTTGGAGCATGCAGGATCTCTTAGTTGTGGCTTGTGGGATCTAGTTCCCTCCCCAGGGATCAAACCCAGGCCCCCTGGATTGGGAGCTTGGAGTCTTAGCCACTAGACCACCAGGGAAGTCTCTGAGCACAGCATCCTTGAAGTCTGAACGCCCCTGATTTCTCTTCCAAAGCTGCAGTGGTTCTAGGCTGTGTGGGGCGTCAGGGGGCACTCTTGCACAACAGACCTGCGCTCCCCTGGCTGCTGTGTCCTGACGTGGCACATTGGCAGAATCCATGCTGACCATTGGGTGTCCACAACAGGTAAAGCTGCAGACCCCCAGCACAGGTGAGCCAGCTGGACAGCATAGGAACAGGGCCAGGAGGCAGCCCTCCCTCTACCCCGGCCACATGCACTAGGTGACACGTGGTGTCAGCTCCACACATGCTGACAGCTCCACGCACGGTGCCCATGGGATGTGCACATGCTTCTGGGTGTCTGCCATGCTCCAAAAAAAAAAGAGATGGCTCAACAAGAGCAGCCCCAAGCTCACCTCCTCACCGTAGAATGTCAGAAGTCCAACCCCCATCCCCAGGCCTGGAAGTTGTAAGGCAGAGGCGACAAAAGGCAGAAAATTTCAACTTTATTTGGCCAATGTGTCCAATTCCAATATTGTGGTAGAAATGCCTGAAGAACTGTCAACATGTGATTCAGCTCAAGCATCCTTGGCTGTCTCCCAGCCTGGAAAGGAAGGGTCCCGGTTCTGCCTGGCGCAGGCCTCAGGCCACCCTGGACATCACAGAACAATAAGGGGAAGGAGGGGGCTGCTGGGCTTGTCCTGGGCCCAGCTGCACCCTCCACTCGTGGCGGGGGGGGCCCCTGTGACAGAGACCAGAAGTCTCCATTTAATCAAATGATGCAGGAGCCACGCTCCACCATGGCAATACCGCATGAGGTGAGGGACCTGTCCAGCCTTGCCTGGTTCTGCCCCACAGAGGGCAGGGGTCCCAGGGAGGCCTGGCCAAGGTGGAGCACACACCCTGACGTCCAAAAATCTCTAAAAATCCCACAGACGGAATTTTTTTTTAAGTGATAGTATAAACCTAACAGGAATGAGAGACATTGCCAGCGTGAGATTCCAAAACATTTTAGCGAGCACTCTGGACAAAACCATGTACAAAAAAAGTACATCACGATTTAAAAAAAAAGGCCCACCAAGATGGGCTGGGCTGGGCTGGCCTGGAAATAAACCCCTTTCCAAAAGTTGAAAAGCAAAGGAAGACGGGTTTAGATTTGCACGTGTGTTAAGAGTGAAGTGTGGCTTCAGAAAAGTTCCCTGCATTTCCGATCGACGCTCCCTCGCTGGGAGGGTCTGCGGGCATCCGGAGGCTGTGCTGCTGGGTGTGCAGCCCACTGGGAGGTGCCGGGTTTGGTGCCCAGGTCTGGCTCTCTGCGTTACAGTTCATCTTTCACAGCTTTTTGATCATCATCTTCCTCCAGATCAGGTTCTTCTGCTTCTTCAAGATCTTCTAGATCCTGGGACATAGGATGAAAAGGAAAGGATGTGAGACGTCCAGGCTGGGCCAGCTTGCTGAGGCCTCCACACCCATGCCAAGGACACTAGGGACCAGTCTGGTGCTCAGACACAAGCAGCCAACTTTGGTCTCTATGAGCAGATGCGTGGATGTGTGGGGTGGGCTTCCGGACAACAGCGAGGCACAGGGGCTCCTGCCCACAATACAGGGTGGAAGCAGAACTGGTGCTCTGGGAGCTCACCCCATGCTGTCGAGCGAGTGAGTGCATGGACCTACTCCATCCATGGCACAAGTGTGAAGGCTGAGCAGGGAGCCACTGGTGTGCAGTGTCCACCCCTCAAGTCCTGGAGTTCGCGGAGCCAGTGACAGCCCACCAGTCACAGCAGCACAGACGGCCCTGGCAGTCCTCACTGCCCCCACCCCGCCCTCACTGCACACTGCAGCCAGGTCTGCCCCTCGTCCCATATCCCTGCACTTCTGGGCAGACCGTGGCCTCAACTGGCCAGTCCCTCCACCACCCCACCCTCTTGGCCCGGGTGCACACTTCTGCTATCCCCTCCACTCCCCCCAGCTGATGTGGAGAGGACTGAGCTCACACCAGGCAGAGCACCTCAGCCAACAGAGAACATGCTGGATGTGCCTGCAAGGATTCCTGAGCAAACAGTGGCACCTTAAGACCCTTCCAACCTCCCACCCCACCCTGTGCAGTACTGTGTGGCAGCACGCCCCACAGCCCCCACAGCCCGCCAGGTCCAACAACCACTTACGTCGTCATCTCCGGCTCCATCCTGGCCACCGCTCTCCAGGAACTTCTTAAAACCGTCCAGTGTCCGCTCCCCATTGTAGTCGATGACCTGCAGGGAGGGGGGATGAGATGTGAGACGCAGTCCCCCCGAGAGCCCCCCAACCCCTCCGCACACCGCTCTGTGGTGGGCGCACCGTCCTGTCAGCACTGGCGGGGAAGAACTTGAGCGTGGGGAAGCTGTGCACTTTCACTGCCTCCACCTCGTTGGCCGTGGAGTCCATCTTGGCAATGACTATGTTCTCGTGGTCCTTGTAGGTCTCTCCCAGCTTATCCCAGATGGGGGCCAGCTGCTTGCAGTGACCGCACCACGGGGCATCTGAAAGAAAGCCGTTCTGCGTCTCGCTGGGCCGGAAGTGCCCCACCCTAGCGAGCCCAGAGCATTGGAGGGCCTCACTTACAGAATTCTACAAAGACATTCTTCTTCTCATCAAAAGCGACCTCTTCAAAGTTCTTTCCGACCAGCACTTTGACAGGCTGCTTGTCCCAGTCATCAGGTAGCTCCTGGCTCATCAGGTGGGGCTGGAGGGCAAGTAGAGAAGAGTCAGGCACGTGCAGTTGCCTGGGGACCCCTCTGCCACCTAGATGCTCTGTGCGCCCCAAGGATCCTCAGCAGCCCAACCCCGGACAAGGTCCACACCTTAATCTTGCCCTCCAGGAAGCGGTGGCAGAACTCAGTGATCTTCTCTGCTGTCAGCTCATCTGACTCTGGCTTGTATTTGGTCATCTCCTCCTCCAGCGTGATGAGGCGCACGGCCGGGCACTCCTCTTTCTTCAGGCCGAAGAATTCCAGGATGCGCTGGTTGTCAGTGTGGTCGCTGTCGATGAAGATAAACAGGATCTTGGGAGAGAAAAGGCACGTTGACAGCACTGCACAATGAGGGCTCCCTAGACTTCCCTGCTGCCCACTCCCCAACGACCGGGACCCCACACAAAAACAGGCTGTCCTGAGGCAGGAGGAACCCTCTGATCACCCTTTGACCTGGGGGTGCCAAGCTGCTCGCAGGCCATGGGGAGCACACACCTTGCCCTTGAAGCTCTCAGCCGCTTTTTTGAAGTTGCTCAGCTTGCCCTCATAGTCAGACACGCTTTTCGGCAGGAACAGCAGGATGTGAGTCTTGATTTCCCCTCCAAAGATCTTCGGGGCTGTCTGCATTGGAAACACAGGCTACTTGGCAAGCTACTGACATGGGCTATTCTCTCCTTGGTCCCAAGGCCACCACACCTGGCCTCTGTAAGTCAGGGTCCCCAGGACCAAATGTCAGCGCCCCCCGCCAACTGGGGCAAGATCAGCAACAGAGACACACCTGCTCGGTGAACTCAATGACCAGGGGCAACTGGTTGTGCTTGATGAAGTCCAGAAGCTTCTCCTTGGTGACCTCCCCCTCAAAGTTGTTCCGGCCTTCGTCAAACTGTGGACAGAGAAAGGCGTGGGTGCCAAGACTCTCCACAAAGCCCCCTGTGGCCCTGGCCGGCTGACCATGGCCAGGAAGGCAGTCTATAGCCTCATATTCTTGTCTGGGTTGTGACAGCAGTGGCGGGGGGTGGGGGGCGGGAAGGACCCGCATGTCTCCATCCAAAGCAAAACCAGGTGATGGCTGCCAGGACACATCCTCTAGGCATTAGGCGACAGTGAGGTCACCAGGAGTGCACAAAGGCTCCCCACGAACACCAGCAGGCAGCCTCCTGCAGGCTGAGACCGCAGCAGCTGGCCCAGACCCTGCCCCAGCACGTTCTTAACAAGCCACGAGAGCCCCATGTCCTGGGTGGGGTGCCAGGGGACTCCTCATTGCCAAGTCCCTAAAACTGCGGCCCTCCAAACAGGAGCCTCACCCCTGTTGGACCCAAGGCCCTTCCAGGGCGGCCGCAAGGTCAGACTGATTTTCACAACCATGCTCAGACGGCAGGTGCCCTGTCATGCATTCTCCCCCAGAGTATGCAGCATGGCGTGTGACATTGCGTCAGACTGAAGGCAAACAGGAGAACCCAGCTGTCTTCTGTTCGGACAGACATTAGAGACTGGCAGAAATCTAAACCACCACTCTGAATATGAAAACGTTGCTTGGGAAAAAATTAATTTTCACAAAAATGTTTAGTTTTTTTTTGGCCACACCACGCAGCTTGTGGGATTTTAGTTCCCCGACCAGGGATTGAATCCCAGATGGATTCCTAACCATTGGACCATCGGGGAATCCCCCCCAGAATGTCTTTTTTCATAACGTTTAACATTTATTATTGTTATTTTACAAAAGTGTTTTTTTTTTAATTTCTCAATTCTAACATGTCTAACACAATAAAAATGGGTAGGTATTCCACACACAAAAAAAGGTCTTTGGGAACTCCAGTAATCTATTAAAAAAGAGTTTCAAAGTCCTGGAGCCACGAAAAGCAAAGGCTGCGGCCACAGAGCTGAGAGGTGTGGCCCAAGCTCCAGATGGGTGGGGCAGACACAGCTCCCTGCAAGGAGGCCGAGCGATACTTCAGCCTGTGCGGCTGGTCAGTGAGCCTCCCATCACCTGTGTGAACTCAGATGGGACCTACAGAGAGAAACCACTCACCTTCCCTGCCCGGTCATTTCCCTCTGCATTTTCCCAAAGTAACTAGCCACTTCCCATTCCCACCCCACTCATATAGAGCTAAAGCTGGCTCTGCCTTCCCCACACCCGCGATGGGAAGGTGCAGAGAGACAAGAAGGACATGGAGGCAAGAGGCTGGCCACAGCCAGGCTCCATGAGGCATAAAGCAGATCTCCCATTAAGAGATAAACAGACGGCATCCCCACTCCTCCAAAACCGCCGTGTCTCTATTGGGACACAACCTTGGTCGAGGTAACGGTGCCACGTTACACTGTGTTCAGTGCCTGCTTTGGTGAGAAACAAACAGCCCTTGTTTATCTGGGGACAGCTACAGGAGGTCTTGTGGCCCTGGGCAGAAACTACCCCACCAGTCTGCAATGAGAATGTCCCAAAAATAAGGCCCCACCCCCACTCTTAAGCCCCTGGCTTCAAAGATGAAAAACAAAATAAACACCAAACAAAGACACAGGATGATCAACTCTCAAACCAGTGGTCCAAGCAGACCCAAGCTGGGACTCAGACTCAGAGGTGCAAGTGGCAGCTGGCCATTCTCTCTTGAGAGAGTCCCATCTCTCAAGGCTGCCCACACAGAAGACCCTGCTCACACTGAGGAACCAGGCAAACAGCCTGAAGGAAGCAGAACAAGTAAAGGTGGAGAATGGGGACAATGGGCCAGCAGGGAATCTGCACCTTCTTCCTCTCAACCCTAGAGCTGTCTGCCTGACTGCAGTTGTGACCCCAACTGACTCCTCAGCACAAAGCCCATGAGCTCTGCCAGGCTCCTGCTCACAACTGCCCAAGGCAGCATGGCATTCCAGCATGGCTGCCGGAAGCCAGCAAGTGGAAGAGGGAAGCCCCCTCACTGTCCCCCTTCTCCCCACATAGATACCAGAGACTTAAGGCCGAGAAGAGATAAGCAACCAGGACTACAGTCTTTGTAGAACAAAGAACCATCCTTCTAACCTTCAAGAAAATGTGATCACCAGAACCATCATCAATCCAGTATGACAAGTGCCACTCCAGATCTCAAGGGTAATGGAAAAGGACTGTGGATCAAGCTGATGAAAAGGGGTTTATAAGCGCCACAGGCCTCAATCTCCCCCGTCCTTCACCCAGAACTGCAGGACACACCCAAACTTTCTATTCAAGGCCCCCAGGACCTTCATTCCACTCAACTCCATGTAATTTGGCTGGGTCTTCTAGTGGTGGAGTCACTCAGTCGTGTCTGACTCTTTGCGACCCCATGGACTGTAGCCCACCAGGCTCCTCCGTCCATGGGATTTTCCAGGCAAGAGTACTAGAGTGGGCTGCCATTTCCTTCTCCAGGGGATCTTCCCGACCCAGGGATCGAACCCGGGTCTCCCACATTGTAGACAGATACTTTACCGTCTGAGCCACCAGGCAGGGAAGTCCTAATCAGTTGTTAATAAGTTTCCTAGGTACCTTTGGGAAGATAGTTGACTAATTTAGCAATTCTGTTCCCTTTAAGGGACTTCAGAAATAGCTGAAAGCAAGCTACCCCAGAACCCAGTGCACCTGGGAGGGCTGCCCTCCCTACCCCCAGGTGCTAGAGGCTTAGCAGTGCCCCACCCAGGAGTGCACACAGTGGGGGGACTGGGCCCCCCAAACACTGTGTCCTTTCTGATTACTCAGTTTACAACTTTGCTGTAATGCTACAACTACCTTCTAACCCTGGGAACAAAACAGGACAGGAATCTAAGGCTTAGCCCCTCTCCCTGAAGATGTACCTCTAGCCCCAGCTCCCCTCCGTCATAGCCTTCCCTCCTCCTCCACTCTGTACCCAATCCACGGACAACTGTGTCCCAAGGGCATGCGTCCTTGGCCAGCCCCAGGCCCACTATCTGGTGGCTAAGATAAAGAGACCCCGATCACCCACCAACTGCTGTGCACACACACCAATCCCAGCTGTGTCCTAGCAAGAGTGCGGAGAAGTCAAGAGACAAGGCCCCTTCATGACCAAGTGTAACAGACATAGGGCCTGGGGAGCCTGCAGGAGCCCAAAGGAGCCCTGAGGCCCAGCTCTGCCAACACAGTGGGAACACCTGCCACTACTACCCCACCGTGGAAACCAACAGATGTGACAGCTGAACGGTACCACAACTGTAATTAATGCCACTGAAAACTTAGAAGTGGTTAAAATGCTAAACTTTATTATGTATGTCTCATCATAGCTTTTCTTTAAAAAGCTAATTCTCTGAAGCTACTTGGCTTGCATAAAACACCGCAATAGGGTCAACACAGAAGCTGGACATAGGGCCCACAGCTGAAGGGCTGAAGGCCACGGTCTAAGAGGCTCCTACTACCTGACGTTGCAAAACGGGCCCTGATAACAGGCGGGCCGCAGTCCAGCCAGTGCCACCTGGGCAAGGTCCTCAAAGGCGACACCAGCCCGGAACTTCAACTCCCCACCGGGGGAAGGGGGGGGCACTCACCTTCTTAAAGAGGACAACCCCATCCTTGTCCAGCTGATATTTGGAGAACACGTCACTGTTAGATGTGATGCCGAAGGGGATGTCATCAATGGCCTCTGCTGCCAGCAAGAACTGCTTTGCAGAGTCCGACTCCACGTCCTGGAGAGAAGCAGCAGAGGTGGCCACTGTCCCAGCACTGAGGACCCCTGCCCTGGTCAGCAATGGGGGAGACCACAGTGCCCAGGCCACAGCCGGTGGGAGGAAGACCCAGGGTGAAGTTAAAGAGCCTCTACCTTGAAGAAGCCGATGACAGCCACCTCACTGGACTCCACCAAGGCCTCTGCAGCAGCCCCGTCAGACAGTGTGCTGGCGGCGGGGCCAGTGCGCTTCTTCAGCCAGTTCACGATATCATCGGCTTCTCGGCCGGCTGCGCCCAAACACAGGCAGGGTCCACTTGATATCAGGGATGCACCCACCCTCCCCACCTATCCTCATCTGAGCTCTCTGCCAAAACCAGAGCAAAATATCACCTTGCCACAGGAAAGGCATCTTGTCTACATACCTACCCAAATTCCACAGTTAAAAAAGCTTGTATGTGTATATGGAGACTGTGGATGTGCTTAAAGAAGGGAAAGGCAGGAGTGACCTCTGGGTAACAGATGATAAATCGCCTATTTTTTCCTCTAACACTTTTGCATCTTGTAAATTTTCCTTGATATTTAAATTCACTAAACACACGTGTACTTTCCCCCCAATGATCTCACACTAGGCTTCGTCTTAATTAGCAATGTGGTAGGGTTGGAAAAAAGGGCTGCTTAGCAAGACAGCCTGCCTCAAGACCAGCTTTCCCCTGAAAAAGCAGATTAGGAATTACTGCCTCGTGCACTGACTGGTCAGGTGTCCTCAACCTACACACCTCCTGGACTGGCAGGAGGAAGAGATCAGCCCACACACACCACCATGGCAGGTAAAAAGAGAGGGAAAAAAACTGCTCCTCCCAAGACTGAGACCAGTTGCCCTTTATCCCCTCGTGTGACTGACCTGGAATGGGGTTGCCAAATCTCACGTTTAAAAGGACTCTGCCTAGAGTTAATAAAAGCTGTGCTATCAGTTACAGGGGGAGTCAGAAATGGTTTTCTCATCTATAAGACCTCAGTGTTAGTGACAGGATTGTGTTAACTCTGCAGATGGCACTCCCATTCCAAAAGTAAAAACACAAGTAAAAGTGGGAGCACCAGAACAGCAGCCTACTGAGATCAGAGTTGATGTCAGAATGAACAAGACGGGCTGCTCTAAAGTATTCGGGTGGATAAGCCACGGAACCGGTTTCATAGACAAAGATTCCCCTTTGGTCACCAGTAACGACTGGGCTACAGAGGGAAGGTGGCTGAGCAGCAACTGAGGGAGGGGCCAGTGCAGCTGGGCTTGGATTTGAGCTCTACCACGACCGCCACAAGCCCCAGCTTGGTACCCGCTAATCTCTGCCTGCCCCTCCTCTGTGAAAGGCCTTCACATCTGCCCTGGTGGCAGGCACACCAGAGTGAGCAAACGCTAAAACATGTTGTTCCGCTTGCTCAGCCTCCCCCCACCCCCACACTGGTCAACCTGAGGACAAGCTTCAGCCGGCTGGCCACCTTGTGGGATGACCCTCTCTACTTGAGAGAACGTTCCTCACACAACCCTGAAAGGCTGAACTAGACCCCAGAACCCAGTCAGAGAACAACCCCTCCATGCCTGTTATCTTCCAAGACCCTGTCTACTGGCAAGGAAAGGATAGCGCCGCGCTCTCACCTGTGTACTCTTTGGGGGAAGCTGTGTCTCCATTCTTGAAAAACTTGATGGTAGGGTAGCCTCGGACACCATACTGTTGGGCCAGGTCAGACTCTTCAGTGGCATCCACTTTGGCCAGTCTGATCTCGGAACCTTCTGCCTTCAGCTTCCCAGCTGCTTTGGCATACTCCGGGGCCAGAGCCTTGCAGTGGCCACACCATGGGGCGTCTGGGAGAGAAAGCAAGACCTAGAAAGCAGCACCAATCCACTCCACCGCCTCCCTTCCCGTTTCCTTTGGTACCTCCCTCCATGAGATCTTTATTTCTGCACCAGGATAAACCCTCTGAATGCAGGGGCTGTGGATGCTCTTGAGCAATATCGGATAAGTGGCACAAAAGACAAACCACTGGTTCCTACTCTCCCTCATCTTCAATGATTAATAACTTCCTACTACTTGCAGGCAGTTAACGCAGTCAGGTCCTAGAATTTCCCTTTCGGAACCAGAGAAATTAAGAAGCTAAAGCTAAAGCCATGGCTGCTGTATATTTACTGATGAGTCGTAACTATGAGACACACATCCGTGCACACCAGCCAGAGACTCACATCTAACACAAGTTCTTAAGATTCTCTCTCAACTCAGGTTAGTGGCTGTACTGGGTCTAAGATTTCCATCTGAGATAGTCAGGGCTCATACACTTACGAACACAAAGGTTTTTAATTCTGGTAGGCAACACTGTTCATCAGAAAACAGCTGTCCCTGGTGAACGGTGGTGTGGGCTGGAGCAGTGCTCTCCGGGAACTAGTCCAGGTGAGCAATTCGGAGGCTACCTCCTGCATAGTCCTTCGTTATTTGTGGCAGTTCATAGAGTCGACCCTACTTTTCTTAGGCTAACAGAGGGATCCTGACATGTGGACGTCAGGCACAAAGGCACATTCAGGATGTCTGCCCTGAATCAAGGTCCAGCTGGGCAGGAGGTATGCCCCCAGGACGCGGGCAGCGTAGGGACGCTGACAGCAGGTCTGTGAGCTGTTTCCGCTTACAGATGGGCCTCTCCAGGGGTTAGAAGTCAGCGCGTCTAGGGGTGGCCCGCTGACACTCCTTTAGACTCCAACCCATCTCTGGCGGGGCCGGGGAAGGAAGCGTGGGAAGGGCGCCCAGGTCCCCCATCCTCCAGCCCCCCCCCGCCCCCCAGTCCACCCCGGTGCCCCTGCCCCCTCCTCTGCCCCTGCTTCGTTTCCATCCCGCGAGTGGCCGCGAGGCCAGGCCCGGATGGACGAGCTGGAGGCACTCACAGAACTCCACCAGCAGGTACTTGTGGGCCGCCAGCGCCTCGTCGAAGTTGCCCTTATGGAGCACCAGAACATGGTCCTCCTCATCGGGGACGCCGGCATCCGCGCGGAATAGCGTGGTCAGAGCCACGCAGAGGAGAGCGCGGCGCAGCATGTCGGCACAGGCGCGGCGCTTCAGTTGGCGCCGCCAGGACAGCAGGCCACGAGAGCGCGCGCCGCCCGTCCCGCTCTTATAACTCCGGCCGCCGAGCGCGCGCCCGCCCTGCCCACCTCCAGTTGGCCTGGGGGATCCGAGGCCCGCCTCCGCTGAACTCGCATTGGGGGCCCACACAAGTCACGGCCCCGGATTCGGAATTGCTACAGGCACCTCCCTCGTCCTCGCCCGGGATTGATCCAGGAGCTCGCGCTCGCACTCTCTCCCGGCCTCTCATTGGCTCCTAGCGGAGAACTTTCTCTCTCTCGACTTGTGACTGGTGGTTTTCTCATACACCTTCCCCGGGCCTGGAATGGCTGCTACCTTCAGGGACCCGGATTCTGCGGCTCCTGATTGGCCAAGACATGCGCGCTCCCCGCGCGATCCTTTGTCGAACGTGGCAGTGGGGAGGAGTCCTCAGCGGAGGGGCGGAGCCACGCTTGCGCCTCCGAAACCCCTCGTGTTGCTTTCTGACTGGACCGCGTATCCCCACCTGACACCGACCCCCTCCTCCCCGGCTCTGCAGACCGGAAGCTGGGCTGACGCGCTTCCGGCGCGCGTGAGGCCCGTGCGGCGCCTGCCGTGGCGACTGGTGTCTCGTGCGGGCGTTGCCCGCATGGCCTCCGTGAGTGGCCAGGGCGCTACTCGGCGGAGCGAGGCGCAGGGGCAGCGCGCGGGGGGCCGGGGACGGCCCCAGGCGGAATGCGATGGAGGAGCCAGCAAGGCCCACCGGAGCTGTGCCCGGAATGGGGCCACTCGCCTGGTGAGGGGCTCCGGTCCGGCACCGTCCACCGTGTGCACTTCCCTTCCTTTCTACCGGCTGCCTCCCATAAAGCGGGCTTCGGGAAGCTTTCGGGCAACCGGGTAAACCTGCGCCGTCCGCCTCGGGGTTGGCTAGCGGCCACTATCACCGAGCTCTACAATGCGACCGGGCAGTGTGACCCGGAGTGAGTGTAACGCACAGTGAACACACGGATTGAGGATGGAAGAAGAGTGTACGATATTCCCTTGATGACTTTTTGTATGGATACGTTGGAATATTTTGTTGGGTTAAGTGAAAATATTAAAATTTCAGATTTCTTTTTCTTTAACGTGACTTCAGAGCATTTAAAATAATATGCGTGGCCGGAATGTTAGCTTCTGTCCGGCGGCGCAATTCGGACGGAGCAGCGCCTTGCCCTCAAATGCTCAAAGCCCAACCCCCAACCCCGTCGACACTCTTCATTTGTGTTCACTTACTTCCTCGGTTGTGAAATGCCACCCCCACTAAAACTCATCATCGATTTAATAACTTGGCAGGAGGGAGACACTGCTACATTAAATGTACACGTTGGCTATAGTAACATCTTGGTTTTAAAAATGGTAAAACAGAAAAAGTATGCTTTTGTACTTGAGAGAGTGCATTTGTTGACACCTTGCTCCTGAGGGCATGTGTTCTCATATCCTATGCAGTATTCCTTCTAGAATATGAATATCATAAGGTCAAGACCAGGTTCTCTGTGCCCCTCCCCCAGTGCCAGTAGAGCTAGTCAGGAGGAAGTGGTTGTACCTCCTGGGGGGTACTTTACAGGAGCTGGGCCTCCTGAGAGAAAAGGCTATGAATGTGTGTCTGCAGCCTCCACCCCACTTCCGTGTTCTGGCCTGGGTGCTGGCCCACGGAGCAGCCGGCAGGGCTTCATAATAAGCATCACAGGCCTGCTTTGCTCTCTGGGAACCGGTGGGAACTGCCTCATGTCTCCTGCCCAGTCTACCCACATTTTTGTGATTGCCATGACTGTTTTACAGACCACAATTTGGGGCCTGAGACAAGGGATCTTTGTACCACATCTCTATTTCAGAGGCACTCATGAAATCTGAGTTGATACCTAAATTTGGGGACTTCATAGTTTTTTCAGCTAGTAGAATGAAGATACACTTGCTGACGGTTTGGAGGGAGCTTAGCCTCACAACATACGGTAAATAGTTGAGACTACTGGGACCAAGGGAAGAACAGACCAGATGCAGAACAGCAAGGATCTGAGCTGCTGGTAATGGTTGAGCCTCACTGTGGTTCAATTTGAACTCCCCGGTCGAAACCAAAGGCAACTGGGACACACCTTGATGCAGGTGATGACAGGGCCACTATTCTGCAGCCTAGATGGACACAGCAAGTCATCCTTCTGTGAGGACCAGGGCCTCACCAGGGCTCTGGTGTCGGTGGGGGCATAATACTTCCATGCTTTGTCTGCACTGATGTACCTTCTCAAAGCACAGTCACCCATCATGAATTGACCTGTGCACTGACCTGTGCAGGAGCAGGGTTCCCCAAAAGTGGGAGGGAGGCCCCAGGTCTCCAGTTTCTGGGGTTGGTAAATAGCTGGGTGAGGTGAAGGGGTGCATCCTGTCCCCCAGAACATAGGCCAGTCCTTGGCCCTGAGGGGAGGGCTAGTGTCTTTTTCCTAAGGCCACTCACAGGCCTTTCAAGGGCAACTCTAGGAAGAAGTGATGAAGCCATGGTCACTCTCAGGCTAGTGCCCTGAACTGAGTGTGTCTTTGGAGGGCAGAGCCTACCCACCTGGCAGCTGTGGCTCTGGCATCTCTGAACCCAGCGCAGTCAGCTCAGGATAACCTCTAGGGGTCTCACACCCAGAAAAGGTGTTCACTGGTTAAACAACTGAGTGATCAAATGTTTTGATAAAGAACTACTGTCAAGAGTTCTCTGGGTGCGGTAAGCGCGGGTGGCGTGGCGGGTGGCTAGGTGCCATTGAGCAGACTCAGCTACAGAAGGTAAACCATTGGTGATATCTAAACAGAAGGCTGCAGTGGTGTGTGGAGTCCCCATCCAGGTGGTCTGCACAGCGTTTAGCAGTCACATCCTGGTGGTGGTGACCCAGTTGAGGCAGATGGGTACCCTGGTCTCCCTGGAACCCAGCAGTATGACCAGTGACATTGGCAAGCCTGTGATTACCACTAAAGTCCTCCTCGGGAAGGGTGAGCCTCTCATCCATGTCTTCGCAAAGAACCTGGTGGCATTTGTGTGTCAAGAAGCTGGAAACAGAGCAGTGCTCCTCACCCTGAACATGAAGGACAAGAGCATGGTGGTGGTGAAGGCTCTGAAGGAGGTGATCCAGACGTGCCAGGTGTGGTGACCCTGGAGTGGCTACCTCTGCTGTCCAGGAGGGCCATGAGGCAACTCAGACACCCTCTCAAGGATTTGAAGGTCCTCCTCTAGTTAGGAGCTCTCTCTGGCTTTGGCCCTTGAAGTTGGAAGAAACAAACACCTCAGGCTGACCTTAGTTTGGAGGCTGATGTCCCCTGTAGCAGGAGGACAGGAAACATGTCCTGAGAAGGTTCTGAGTCCTCCTCCCCAGGTCCAGACAGCTGCACATGTGTAAGAACTGACAGAATGAGTCGTGGTCCTCAATTTTGGGGGGAAAATTTTTTAAATTAAACACGTATCCCCCTCCAAAAAAGAAATGAGTTCTCTGGACTTCCTGGTGATCCATTGGCTAAGACCAGGGTTCCACTGCAGGGGACACAGATTTGATTTCTGGTCAGGAAACTAAGATCCTGCATTCCACATGGTGTGTGTGTGGGCGGTGGGGGGGAAGCATTCTCAGAATAAGACTACTCCTTTTCAACCCAACTGGAGGTTTTGAGAGTTAACATCAAGCTCATGAACACCCAGGAATCCTCTTTACTTGGAGATTTCTACTGTGGAACAGCAGCAGGGGGCCGAGGGCTGTGCTATGGGCCACAAAGGCTTGCACACAGGCAAGCTGGGACACAGGTGGGACACAGCAACCAGGTCAGTGGTGAGCGAGGCTGTGGTAAACTGAAGTGGACTTGGATTATAAAGCATGACAGTGCTGGGTGTGAAGATTCTAGTAAAGCTGCATTTGTAACTGCATATAAGTAACTGGTGAGTAGTCACATGAAAGGTGCTGACCTGGTGCCCATCGCCACACTCCTCAGTGGAAGAAGGGTCCCTGTGGGGGATGACTGAGGGCCATGGACAGGAGGGAGTGGAGAGGGTCACAGGTGCTGGCTCATACGGGCGGGGAGGCCAGGCTCAGGAGCTCTGAGCTGTACAAACGGGTTTGGGGTGGGACCAGGAGGATCAGGTTAGACTTGGGACCCGAGAGACACGTCATGCAGGTCCTACAGGTGCCACCTCATGTTAACCTTCATCAGGGGAGGAACCAGAACAAAGTCCTGGCTGTTGGCAGGGTGCCTGTCCAACCTGGCACTTGGGGTCTGAGTTCACGAATCAAAATCAAGCTTGGAAAATCCAAGAGTCAAGACAGTATTACTAGCCCTTCTGGCCTGCCAGAGCCTCCAAAAGCCCTTGCCCAATAAACCAAATTGCTGACAGCACAGGTTAATGCTAGATTTGAAGATTTTCACTGGACATTTTAGGAAGTGGATTGGGAGAGTTGGAGGGGCTCTGGCTGGCCCTGGGGCTCCTCTGGCTGGCTGAGACTATAGTTGCTGCCTGGAAGCCTTTCACCTCCAAAGGCAGGGCTGTTTCAGAGGTTGGGGCATCTCAGTTTTGTCAGAAAGGCCTTGGGCCTGGGAACCCAGGGCTGTGCAGTCTGTCTTCCCCTGCTTGAGGCTGGTGGTCCCGGGAGAGGTTGGTTGGGGTCTCTGTCCCCTGTGGCTGTGACTCTTGGATTTGTCTGGGCCAGCTGCTGCAGAAAGTGGCAGTTTGTCCTGGTACCCAGCACAGGGCCCCACCTCCAGAAGCCCACAGGGGCCCTGGGGTAAGGAAAGCCAGGCAGTAACCAGTCCTGTGGGAGCCACCCTGGCATGGCATGTGGTCACTGGCCGGGGGGTGGGAGTGAAAGGGTACTTCCTGGGCTGCTCCAGCTGGCAATAAACTTCAAGGGCTCACCCCGCTGCTAAGAACTGGGCAAAGTGGCAGCCTCTAGGAGGCGTAGCCAGGGCGGGAACACGGACAGCAGCAGCCTAGGTGTGGCACACACTTTTCTCACCAGCTGAGCACAAAGGCAGATTTCACCCTAAAAGTTTTGCCACTGAGCCATAAAATGGGATTTCTGGACTCAACCTTCTGTCTGGGTGGAACTGGGGATTCCTATTTGCCCTCTCCTTCAGTCGGTAAGGTGTGTCTTAGTTCCCAGGCGCCCTTGGGGGTGATGCTGAAGTAGCACCATCCCTGCCACCCCAAGGTCCTGAAGAGACCCTGCAGGATAGCGGGACTGGCAGTCGCTCCTTCAGGGCTCCCCAGGTACTCTCCTGTGCCTCCTTGCAGCAAGGGTCCCCATCTCATCCCATCCACCCCACCTTTGGACCTCTGGCCTTCCATGCCACCCTCTCCACTGGCCCTGCTGCCAACTTCTCCACCCTCCCATCCAGCTCTGAGTCCCTGTCCTGGGTCCCTTGGGACCCAAGTCATTCTATTTGTTCCCAAGTCTTCAGCATGGTTCCCCTTTTTTGAGGTTGGAACCATTCCCTCCCAGAGGCTCAGGCAGGGCCCACAAGTGGCATGCAGGAATCACTCTGGACACCGGATGCCCCACTGGACCCAGGCCCCAACTGTCCCCCGCCTTTCCCCGGCAGAACCCACCCAGCCAGGACAGCACCGGCCTCGTGGGCTGATGCATCTGAGTCAGGGCTCTAAACCCCTCCTCCTCCACCAGCCAGACAGCGGCGACTGCGCCTGGCCCCTGGTCCTCCCACGGGCGCCCCAGGGAAGCAGAGCAATGGGGCCCCCATTTCCCCTTCCTCACCAGGAAACAGCAGCAGACACCCTGGCTCCTTAGGGGGAAGTTTATTTCCCGGTCAGAAAAGGAGAAGCAGGGACAGGCTCCTGTGCATTCTAGGCCCGGGCCTGACCGGGGAGGGTGGGGTCGGGTGGGGTGGGGGCAGAGGGGACAGCTCCAGCGGTGCAAGCTTGGTCCCACGGTTGTCCTGGCTGGGTCCAGGGAGGGCCTGCTGGGGATGGTGGCACCGAGCCTGGGGGCAGAGGCGGCAGGCCAGCGGGCCCAGAGGACGGCACATATAGAGGCAATAAATACTGACGGGCCAGGCACACGACTCCAGGCCTGCAGGCCAGGAGGAACAAGTAAGGCTCGGCCACTGGCTTTGTCTGCTGAGGGCTCTCTCTTGGGGCCGTGGGCTCTAGGCACTGCCCACTGGGACAAAGAAGGCAGAGGTGTGAGGACACCCAGCCTCCCAGATGGGACTGGAGGCCACTTTTGAGTTTTGGCAATTTGGCTTTTCCCAAGCCCCTGGAGCTGTCCCCGCGGGCCTGGCCAGGCCAGGGCAGACTAGGGACCAGCACATCCCAGAAGCCTTCCCAGGCCACGGGGATCACAGACGGGGTAGGGATGGTGGGGGGGTGGGGGGTGGGGGGGGGAGACACCACATGCTCATGCAGACACAGGGTTAGAGGTTAGTGACGCCCCCACAGCACACGTTCCACATGTTAAGGCATCATGGTTAGACCGTTACTGACAGTGATGGATGGACTGACCGGGGAGAGGTGAAAGCTGGAGGAAAACCGGCCCCACGAGGCCCCACGCGGTACACCCCACCCCCACCAGGAAGGGGGCGACAGGAGTCCAGGTAACATAACAGGAAAGGCCCAGGGGACCTGAGCACCCTGAGCCCCACTGCGATGCCTGACTCCCATGCCAAGGACTCAGGTCGGGTCAGGACAGTGGGGGAATCTCGAGGGATACAGAAGGGGAGGTAGAGGCCTCCCTCCCCACAGCACAGGCGGAAGCAGCAACAACACTAGACCACCGAGGAGGCTGGGGCCAGCGGGCTGGAAGGGTGGAGGAGGGACAGGCCAGTCAGGAGGCAGACCGGGGGCAGTGGTGGCAGCGTGGGCGGGCCCTGTCAGCACTTTGGTCTGGGGTCGGGAAGGGTGGGGTGGTGGGGTGGGGCACGTCCGTCCTTCCGTCCGCCCGCCCTGCCCGCCTCCCGGCGTGGCTCAGTCCTTCCATTCCTTCTTGATGGTGAGGTTCCACTCCCAGGACAGGTGGTCAGTCCTGTCATCGTCTGTGAAGCGGGACTTGATGTTGTAGCTGCCTCGAGCCAGCATGCCCTTGGGCGCCTCCTCCATGGGGGTCAGGAACTCATACTCCTCCGCCCGGGGCCCATAGCTCCCCACCATGTAGTCGGTCTTGTCAACTGCAGGGTGCAGGGAGGGCGTCAGTCAGGGAGCAGAGCCCGGCCTTCCCCCGCTCCCTCCCGATGCCCCGTGAGCCCCTGGGTGGCCGCCTCCCTCCTGGTGCGCCCCCCACTCACTCTTCACGCCTTTCCTGTACGTGTGCTGGATGTACTTCATGCCGGACACGATCTCTCGGTTCACCTACAAGGAGGCACCCAAGCGGGGCTCAGCCAGACTCTCCAGTCCGAGCCCCCAGCACCCCCCTGAGCCTCCTCCTTACCCGGAAGGAGATTTTTATCCGATATTCCACACCTTCCTTCAGCACAAAGGACTGCTTCTTGAAGCTCTCCAGATCACCTGCGTTTGAGAGGAACGCCACACTAGGAGGTTCAGGTAGAGGAAGCCACTCCGGCCCTGGTGGGGTGCCCCGTCTGCCCCTCTACACACACCCACCCCCTGGCATCCCAGGCCACACCAAACACACACACACACATACACACACACACCCCTTGGCACCCCAGGCCAAACACCCAGACACACCCAGACCCACCCCACCCCTAATCCCAGGCCACACCAGAGCCAGAGCCTCAAGACCACTTGGTTGCACTTCCTATGCTCCCCACAAGAGGGCACCAGCACCTCAACAAACTATTTTTAGTGGAAGCAGCAGGGTGCCAGGCAGCCCCAGCCAGGAACCTGGAGATGCCACTCACCTGTCAGGTCCAGCTCCAGGGGGCCCGGGGCAGTGCTACACACCAGGGTCAGTCGGGTCACCACAACATTGGGGACATTGGGGTCTGCGGAGTGACAGCAAGTTAGAGCTCCTCCAGCGGGGAAAATAGTGGCGGACACCCAGAAAAGCGACAAGTGTTCACACACCCCACCAGAGCCCACTCACCAGCAGACACAGCCACACGGCCCAGGAGGGCCTCCTTGTACTTGCGCAGACTCTCGTCGTCCTTGTCCAGCTCCTGGATCTCCTGGATGCTCTTCTGGGCCGGGGGCTTGTAGTTGACTGAGTGCTCGTCCTCCTCGTTCTCCGCAGCAATCTGTGCTAGCTGCTCAGCTGTGGGCTCCTGCTCAGCCATACTCACCTCTAGCTGGTTGTGAGACACCTGTGAGCAGGGTAGCAGGGGCTGTGGCAGCCTGGAGGGACCCACAGTGTGTCCCCATCTGCCCTTCTGCAGGACCTGCAAGTGATCTGCACTGGCTCTCTGCAGGTGGCCAAGCCCCCAACCTGGGCCCAAGGGGAGGTGCACGTTCTGTAACAGGAAGGCAGTTGACAGCCAGAACTTCGAAAAGGGCCCAGACACAGGCTCCTGAAGCCCAAAGGGGCCACCTCCTCGCCCTGCCCACCTCATAGGACCCTCACCCCAGCATCCAGAGCTAAATGAAAGCTGCAGCCTGCTCTCAGAGGGAACCTAGCTCCCCTGCTGCCCAGGAAGCAGCAGCACCTGGGTCCAACCAGGAAGCATCAGAACCAAGTGCTGCTTCCTGTTCTGAGCTGCTCAGGCCCTCCCCTTAAAGAACCCCTCTTGCTGGGTTCTCTCTGACCAGCCTGTTCCTTCGAAAACGCCCCAGCTACAAACCAAGGCCTTTGTGCAAGACATGGGTCAGTCACGTCTCACTCCAGCCCAAACACAGGGCTCTCCTAGGGCTCAGATGACGGGGCTAGCCTAAGTCCCACAGGTAAGTCCTAAAATGGCCTGAAAGACCCTACCTGTCTGACAAACCAATCTCTTAACTGTAAGGGTCTGTGACCTAAAATTTGGAAACTGCTGCAGCCATGTGATGAGTAGTCTCAAGATCCTCCTTCCGCCCCGGACCCAGAAGAGCCCAGAGCAGTGCTGTCAAAGCGAGAAGTGATGGGGCAGCCACAGGACTTCCTTCGCTCTGGATGACCATCGCACCCCATAGAATCCCTGAGGAGTATCTGAAACCGACTCAGACTAGACCCGGCGGTGTGGGAGGTGGGTCAGGGCCACCGGTTGCCAGGAAAGCCAGCCAATGCCGGGACGTGCATGAGGACCAGATCTTACAAAGGGCCGCTGGGGACCCGGAACCGCCCGGCCGCCACAAGCAGGGTGGGGCCGGCTCGTTTTTCCAAGCTTCCTTGCAGCTTCCTCTGGAATTCCTCTAGAAGGCTCACGCCCTAACGTCACCCAAGCGCGGCCGCAGGCGACAAAATCATTTAATTGCGATGGCGAGGCCCGCACTTCCGCAGGGCCTGCAATCTGGGCCAGGCGAGACCCGGCAAGCAGGGTGGGGCGCAGGGACCTCACCTCCCAGGAGAGGAGGCGTCCCGCCTGGCCCCGGTCCGAGCGCACCAGCGAGGAGGGGGCTGCCGAGTACGAGCAGCGACCACAAAAGAGGTCTTGCACAGACCCCGGCTCCCGCCCCCGGCACCCGCGCCCCCGCCTCCAGATCCCCGCGCCCCCGATCGCACGTGGGCCCGCCCTGCGCCCGGGGCACCGCCCGCTGTCAATGCCGCCCCCGCCCTGCGCAGATTCCCCCAGCGGGACTGGCGGGCGGGGCGGGAAGCGAGAACAAAGGCGAGGCCCCGGCCTCCTTCCCCGCGGCCGCCTCGCCCGCCGTGCCCACCGCGCTTGCTGGCCCCGCCGCTCGCACTCACCGGAGGATCGTCCGCGCCGCTCTCGCGCTCCCTCCCGCACAGAATGACGAACGTCGCCGCCCCGCCCGCGCGCGCCCTGCCGGCCACTTCCGGGGTCACGCGACTTCCGCTCGCGCCGGGCGGGCCGCGGATAGCGCATGTGCGAGGAGCTGCCGGCAGCGCGTCGCCGCCATCTTGCGGACCGGCGCTGTGGGCGCGTCCGTTTGGGCATCGCGGCAGAGGAGAGTGATGCGGTTGGGGCTTCTGTGCCCTTTGCCACAGGCGTTTCTTAGTCCCGGGTATCCCCAGGAGTCAGCCGGAAAGCTGAAGGGGCCGGGAAGTGAGACGGTCTCGCTGAGCCCGACGGGAAACCTGGGCGCGGCATGGTATTTCTGCGAGGTGCTGGGACGCGCGTGTGTCACGGGCGCGTCTCCATCAGCGGGCATCTCTCCCTCCGAGGGCACGCAGCCATCAGGCCGCGGGGACGAGCCAGCACAGCCGGTCCCCTCAAGGAACCGGGGTTCGCGAGTGGCAGCCGTCCGGCCTTAGGCTACCTTTGCGCCCACTCGCCGCTCTCCGCCCCCCCCGGAAGTTATCGTCGGACGTTCATCCACGGGTGTTCAAACAGCTCTCTCCAGGCCTTTCCCCTTCCAGACCAAGTCAGCATGCGGTCGCCCTTTTGGGAGCTCCTAGCCCAGACGCCACCCGGCGTGGCGACTATCGAACACATGCCCACGCGTTCAACCAGCGAGCATTTTGTAGCCCCAAGCAGGGCCTATGATTTGTAGCCAGCCTGGCGGAACCTGCGCTCCCGACGCCGGTCTGGCACGCATCTCTTCTTCGCCTCCTCGCGGAGTGCAGGACCTCAAATGCTTCACACCCGAGTCATCACAAACACACACCCCTGGATTGCGCGTGGTGGGGGGCCTTTTAGGTCACAGAACCTAATGTGAAATATTGACCTTGGTATCTTTTGGAAATGTCTTTATTTTGGGGGAATATTTGCGAGTTTTCTGTAACTAAGAATCACATGGTCAGCTTAACATGTAGAAAATTGAATTGGTCAAAGGCAGAGTATTCCTATCTTGTATTTATTCCATACGCGCTTTTGAGGCTTCCTGTGGGCACACCTGAAAAGCGCGCCCTCGTCCTCTGTCCTGTTACACTGCAGAATCGCTGACTGAGCAAAAATTTGTTTTTCGATAACCTAAGTGCTTTTTGAAAACTATCAAACTCTGTTATATTAGTCACCTATTGCTGTGTAAAAACATAACCTTGGAATTTAGCAGCTTAGAGCGACCAATATACACCTTCACCGAGGATCAGGGAGCGCTCTGCTGGGTGTTTCTGGCTCGTCTAGTGAGGTTGTGGTTGAACTGTGAGCCAGGGCCCTGGTTTCAGGATTTACAGGAATTCCAAGCTTATGCATGTGCTGTGGGCGGGAGGCTCTGATCCTCACAGGCTGTTGGTTGGAGGATTTAGTTCCCTGCTGCCCACAGCTTCTGGCTTCTCTATAAGGCAGCTGGCTTCCCCGAGTGAGGCCTCAGAAAGAGAATTCGAGCCAGGGAAACAGCAAGTGCCCAAAACCAAGCCACAGTACCCTTTACAACCTAGTATCAGAGGTGCCATTGCTTCTACTCTTCTGCTGGTCACGTGGAGCTTCCCCAGTACAGTGCTGGAAGGGACCACAGGGACATGAGGACAAGGAGACGTGCTGGGCCATTCAGCCATCTTGGAGGTGGCCCACCACATGGATGAAGGTAGAAAGAATGGGAATATGAAGCCCAGAGTATATACCGTCAGCTTCTGTAGGTGCCCTCCAGCTTTTCTCCAACCCTGTGTCATGTTTGCCCTCATCTCCTTACCATGAGTGAGTTTGAAGCAAGCCTCAAATGTCACTTTTACCATATATATTTTCGCATGTATTTCTACACACAATGTTCTAAGTAAAAAGGTCCTTTGGGAGTTAATAACAGCAGTACCATCATCCCACCTGCTATGTAACCAGAACTTCCCTGGTGGTCCAGTGGTTAAGATTCTGAGCTGCCAATGCGAGGGGAACGGGTTCAATTCCTGGTCAGGGAACTAAGATCCCATATGCTGCTTGAAGTGATAAAATGAAAACAATAACAAAAAGATGACCATGTTGCATAGCGCTCAGCCTGGGCTGTTGATCCAAGGACTTCCCATGTGGCTCCTGTGGAATTTTGGCCACTGGGACTTCAAAAACAAATGTTCCAAGAAACCTGTTTTCTGTGCCTGAAGGAAGGACAGGGCCCAGCAGTAAGAGCAGGTGAGAATCAAGAGATACATGAAACAGTAGCCAACATTGAGTTCACAAATCACTCAGTTTATTACACACAATTACAAAGAAGGGACTAGGGGGTAATGTACCACTCCAGGGAGAAGCTTGAGACGGAGCCCTCTAAGCATGATCTGCATCTTTAGTCCCAGGGCCATAGGTCTCAAGACAAACATGAATGGGAAGTTGCCTTCTGCTCCAGCAGGGCCTCTGGCAGTGTCCAAAATAGCTGGAACAGCTCTCAGCAGTGTGGAGTAGGTTCCTCCACAGAAGAGTCTTCAAAGTAATGGGTGTAGTGGTCTCTTCTTAAGGAGCAGCAGTTAACCCTAGGGGGAGGGGTCTTGATTTAACAGTTGTTCTTTTTCTTTGAGTGACATACATCATCCTTCAAGCTTCTTATCTAAAGTAATACTCTTAGTTTATCACTTAAGATACAGTGCTACAGCAGACATTTCAAAACAACTAACATGGAAGTTCACATTGGCCAGTGTGACTCATTTTTAACTACTTAACATATCTTCACATAGCTTAAATCCCATGAGTTTCACACAAGGTGAGTAGTAATCATAACAAATCACTTCATAACAGATTAGATTCCACCTCTCAATGGGAAGAGAAGCAAAGGATGATGTGTGGCCTTCTACCACACACTGCCTCCCAGGACCCCCCAGAGTCTCATCCCATCATGGTTTCTGGTCAGGACTCAGGTGAGGATGAATCTGGGGGTGTGGCTTCTCTTAATCTGAAAATGGGGGCTGAAGACCCAGAAGACCTGCTTTGTGGCACAAGGCAAACCTATATCATCTTACTCCCTGACCATCAGAATTGTGACCATAATAAAATGTGTGTTTCACACCAAGTTTTGTAGTAATTTATAGAGCAGTAAGTACCTGGAATACCAACCAAGAAAATTAACAAATTCTTTTTTTTAATTATCTGTATTTAGTTTTGATTGCATGGGGTCTTCATTGCTGCCTGTGGGCTTTCTCTAGTGGCAGGCAGGGGCTACTCTTCGTTGTGATGCATGGGCTTCTCACTGCGGCAGCTTCTCTTGTTCGGGAACTCAGGCTGTAGGCACACAGGCTTCAGTACTTGCATCACGCAGGCTTTAGTTTCTCCCCAGCATGTGGGATCTTCCTGCACCAGGGATTGATCCCATGTCTCCTACATTGGCA